CCACCGCTGCTGCTTCCTCTGCTGCTGCCACCACCGCCGCTTCCTCCGCTGCTGCTTCGTCTGCTGCCACCTCCGCCGCTGCTTCATCTGCTGCCACCACCGCCGCTGCTTCGTCTGCTGCCACCTCCGCCGCTGCCACCTCTGCCGCTGCTTCGTCTGCCCCAGCTGTCTCTACTTTTGCTGCTTCTGCCAACAAGAACGGTGCGTTTGCTGCTGCAGCCGCTCTCGGTGCTGCAGTGGTCTTGGGTATGTAAATCAGACCGACTCGGAACCCGACCGACTAGGAACCATCCCTATGAAGCCTAGCTTTTTCTTCTCCTTTATTTCCAATTTTTATAGGACGCGGGCTTTCTATTAATTTTTCTATAGTAAACACCATGCGTTTCTATGATTTGTCGCTTGTACCTCACGTAAGCTCACTAGCAAGGTACAACTCCTATTGACATGCTCGGTCGTTATGGGACGTCTCGGGGCGAACTAAGCCATTTTAGTAGATTAGAATCTCATAGGAAATGAACTATTTACGTTTCCATTCTAGGAAACGGAGACTAAGCACAAGGGGTTGCAAATTTGCAACTTCCCAAAACGGAATGGCAGTGCGTTGTAGAACCGCCGTAACGTTAATGCGGGAAATTAGATTCAGCTCTAGCAATCGCAGCGAGACATATTCCTGCATGTCCCGGAGCGTAGAAAGTGCAAGAGAGCCAACTATTGAGACAGTTATCCCCCTTGCCCTACTCGAATATTGCCGGAGTGCAAGCAGAGGGATTTGTGGTGAGTTCCGTGCCACTCCTAGTGCTGGCAGTCGAATACTCCCCAATTCCTGAGGTTCAAACACGCATTAATATGCCATTAGACCAGTTTATAATTTTTAGTCACTATAACCAGAATTACATGGAATGCGAACGAAATGAGCAACAATATAGATTACAAAATTACTTTTAAAGCGCCATCCTCTTCACCGCTTGCCTTATAATCGCCTAGACCCGTCCTGTACGCAGCCCCCCCACCTGCATCAGCTACTCCGCTGCAAAACAGAACAAATGCCTGCCATTGTAACTCCCCGTATCCTCTAAACACCCCACACCACAACCGTTCTCTATTCCCGGTGCATCCAGCCATGTGCAAGCCTAATTTAGCGTATGAGCTTGCATGCGAGCCCGGTCTCACGGCTTCCACCCAGCCCGCCGCCTTGGCGGCTCTACCATTCGCCCATAGCCTCTTCGAACAGAGCGCCGCGCTGCTGGCGCAGCTTCAGGCCGAAAAGCCGTGGAAACGCAACCCGAACTATTTCCAAAAGGCTTACATATCCTCTCTCGCATTGATGAAGATGACCATCCACGCCCATTCTGGCGGCGATATCGAGGTGATGGGCATGATGCTCGGTAAGCTTGTCGCGGGGGGCATTGTTGTGTTGGATGCCTACGCCTTGCCCGTAGAAGGAACCGAAACCAGGGTCAATGCGCACGAAGATAGTTATGAGTTCATGGTGCAATACCTCGAGAGCTATAATAAGACTGCAGGTAGGGATGGTGACCGTATTGTCGGCTGGTACCATTCGCACCCGGGCTACGGCTGCTGGCTCTCGGGGATTGATGTTGCGACGGAGAAGTTGCAGCAAAAGTTCCAGGATCCATTTTTGGCGGTGGTGATCGATCCGCACCAGACAATGAGGCAAGGGCGAGTAGAGATTGGCGCGTTTCGGACGTACGAAGACGGCACGCGCGACACAGGCACGCACACAGCGGGGACTCTGAAGGGCACCCGGGCGCCTAAGATCCCAAAGTCTAAAGCGGAGGACTTTGGTGCGCATGCTGACGATTACTACGCCCTCGCGGTCGAACTATTTAAGTCTGAAGTTGACAATGCCGTGTTGGAGACCTGTGTGGCCACCTCTTGGACCGCGGCCCTCGCAGAAACGCCCCAGACCAGCCAGATGCGCGGCTTGACCGAAAGTGTGGCTGGGTATGTCCTGGCGCTGAAGGATACTCGTGCCCTTGGTGTTGCCCATTCTCTCAAAGAGACACTGAGGGGTACTCTTGCCACGCGCGTGGAGGATAATTTATCGTTCGGGCAGGGCGAGATGAGTGACGGTGACGACAAACACATTTCCGATGTGTTTGACATGGACTCTGAGAGCGACGTCGGATCGGGGCCGGTGCGACTGCGGGTGCACCGCTTGGCCGGACGCGGCATGAAGCGCCCGCCGGGCGGGCATGCCTTAGAAGGTAAGAAGCCAAGGGGTACCGAGAGTACAGTGCCAGTGAATACCCGGCTCGCGGCCTTGGCCAAGCAGGCGCGTGCGGCTGGTGCCGATGAAAGCCGTGCTCTCGCATTTCTCCAGGTCCAGAAGGGTTTGTTCCTACAGGAGAGGAAGTAAAAATGAAATCATGAATGTCAGAAAGAGTAAAAGCAGATGTTACCGTGCATCCTCTTCCTAGGCTTCTCTGACCTTCTAGTTTTTCCGCTTTTATTAATTTCTGGTTCTCCAAGATACTTGCGTTCTGAGTTACTAGTCTTATTCCATCTTATGTGCTTTCTCCCAAACTCCAAGCTCTGCTTTGACGACGCGAAAGCAAGATGTCATCCTTAAGTTAGTACATATCCACCTTACCAAGATAGGTGGTTATATATTCGAATCCATCTATATTGCAGTTTCCCTATTCCTTTGAATTTGGCACGGTGTGTTTGGATCAAAGCATGGAGTTAATTTTACGCTCAAATCTTTGTTTAAGCAAGCTATATACATGTTTATTCGGATCCATGTATATAGGGGGGTTTTCCCCTCAAACCATCGCTTCAACGTAACCTGATTATCAAGTACAAACATAGTATCATATTCCTTAATATACATAAATTACTATACACAGGCTGGTCCGCTTAGCCCACGAGGTTGGCACGGGATGGATGGATCCCACTGTTGTTCAAGGCATCGGTTTTGGCTCTCTTGACGGCGGCCTCCTTCTTGCTTTCCTCGACTCTGGTTCTTCTCTCGTCGTCAAGCTTGAGGTTTTTTTCTTTGAGTTTGGCCACACGGGCCTCAGAGTTCCCACCACCCCCAACGGTCAACTCGACATTGATCTTGCGGTGCTTCAAAGTCGAGTGGTGTCTGCTGAGCGCAATGTCCATCTTGCTTCTGACCTCGGCGGTGTCTTGGTCGAACTCCACAAAGGCAATGCCCTTGTCGGTTCTAAGTCTGATACGCGACGGTTCTGAAGACTTAAAGTGCGCCATGAGATCCGCCTCGGTGGTATCGTACGGCAAGTTTCCGACAAAGAGGATGAAACGCGGTCCACTGCCACCGTTCACGCCCTTACCCTTCTTGCCTCTTCTGGTTTTGCGCTTCTTTGGCGCATTTGGGTCAACTTCAGCTGGGACTTCCGTAGCTTCTTCAAGCTTTCTCTTCTTGGACTCTTCGGCTGGCTCTTCCTTCTTGGCCTTTTTGTCTTTGAAGTTGAAAGCCTTCTTTTGCTTCTTGGTTTGCTTCACGGTATCTGACATTGTGATGGGTAAGGTTGGATGTAATTCAGAGAGATACCCAGGGCTGAAGTTAAAAAAAATTATGGAAAAAGAAAAATTCGTGCGGCTGCAGGAGGTTTCCATGCGGGTTTGTCGTGTGAGTATGCGAGTTGCCGTACACGGTTTGACAGTTCACGGTAACCTTCAGGAAGCGTACAAGTACTTCTGCCGACCCAACTTTAGAACATAGGAGCCTGTGCCGACCAAAGGGCATAACAACATGATTGACCCCAAGACAGCTATGGAAAAGACCCAGGAAGAGTCCGATCTCAAACCAACACCACATCCAACTTCAGACCACAAGGTGCCAGACCGGGATCCTCCAAGAGAGTCTAGACATTCCAGAGAAAGATCACCGGTACGGGAAGAACTGAGTGGCCGTGGCCGAAGTCGGTCACCGGTACGGACAGAAGAGCCAATGACGATGGAGGAAATGATGGGGTTCGGCGGTTTTGGAACCACCAAAAACAAGCACGTCCAGGGAACCAAGAGCGGGGCCGTCAAGGTCAACAAGCGGTCCGAGTATCGCCAGTACATGAACCGAGACAAGGGATTCAACAGAGCGTTATCGCCAACCCGGGGAGAGAAGAAGAAGATGGGTAACAAGAAGTCTAAGGAGTAAGGCGGGATAAAGGCCAAAGAAAAGGAGTGATACAGAAGGAGAAACTAATGGAAATAAAAGAGGATCAATGTAGAGTTTTGAACTAAGAAAGGTTGTCAGTGAATGCTAGAGGTGTCCTATCTGGATGTACTTTATCAAACGATGCATCTAGTCTAATTGATAGAAAGTCACATTCGCATAAGGAAGGGTAGTTATACCTGTATGTATACTACATAAGTGTCTCGTGTTATCGAAATATTCAGAGACATTTAACATCCGCCAATTCACGAAGCTGAGGAGGGCATGCATGGACTTGAGATTTTATTCAAGGATAAGAACACTTCTAAGCCCACTGTCTAGGTCATTAGAAGGAGCTATCCAGAGATGCTTGTCCCAAAAGATTGGTGCGATTAGTTATATGCGTCGTACCTAAGCTGGCGGTTGTCATAATCCTGGGTTATCTTCACCATTTCTCCATCCTTCCCTCTCAGGTGAGAGCCACATGTGCTATAAAGCGTCTCATTCACATCTCGCACCTTGCGTTTGCGCATCGTATTTGCGACTGCCTTCTCATGGTCGCACCTGATTACCTTACACCATATTCTCTCTCCTCGAGACCCCAGTTGCCATTATCTACACAATTTAAAGATATGCCGCTTTTTGGCATTAATGTTATACGTTCGTTACCTGTGCTATACCCCGTACCATGGTTGGGGACGCTAACCACAAGTGCTGCCTTTCCAAACGGTACTAGCGCGCACATACGGACCCTAGTTCGAGCATGCTCTACTTCCCTGCCTTCTTCTTTCTTTCCAACGCGGCAATGTGCGCCTCACTCTGATCCACCTGTGTGTGGTGGTGCCCGTCAACATGCACGACACACGCGCTCACCAGACCCTTCGTGTGGTCAAACTGGTAGTCCACCGTGCACATTGGCACTGACAGCAACCACTCGTCGTTGAAGCACTCCTCAATGGAGATGCGGCACGCCGGGGCCAACTCCACCATGCGCCCAATCAACGGCCGCGTCTCGTTGGGAAGCGCATTGAGGAGACGCATCGGGCCGGTGAGCAGGGAGGTGTGCGGCATCCCGTTTGGATCTTTCGCTTCGTCCGCAGACGTGGCAGAAGGCTTGGTTTCGGACTCGTCGAGGGCGCCGTGCACGTCTGCCGACGGCGAAGCTTCGTTGGCTTCTGGTTCGTCTCCGGCCTTGGCTTCCGCGTCGATCCCATACTGCGGCGGCAGCGGCATCTGCTTCAACACCTCGTTCAACGGGATCTTGTCGTCTCCCCTCGTCGCAAACATCCTAAAAGAGTTGTCTGACAACTTTGGGATCTTCCATGGAAATTTCTTCAACGTCATACAACAGAAAATCATCGCCATCAGCCACACATCCACCGGTCTCGGGTCGTACTTGTGGAACACACAGACCTCCGGGGCGAGATACGGGTCAGAGCCCACAATCCCGTGCGATTCGATCAACGTTTTGTTGAACGGATAGGAGAATACGACCGCAGAGCCAAAGTCAATAATCTTCACCACGCCCTGGCCATCGATCACACAGTTGTCCAACTTCAAGTCGCGGTGCGCAAGCCCCATCGCGTGGAGGTATTTCATCCCGGAGAGGATCTGCTTGAAACAGCAGTTGATTTCCGGCTGGTCCATCTTGCCGCTCATGACAATGGCGAACAAGTCGTAGTCGCAGTACTCCATGACCTGCAAGATGCGCTCGTTGTCGTAACAGATCTCGACCGTTTCGATGATGTTGGGATGGGACAAGGTTGTCCCGATGCAGTACTCGGCCGTGATCTTCTTGACGTAGTCGCGCTTGTGCTCCGTCGCGTACTTCTGGCGAAACTCCTTCACCGCAAACACTTGGCTATCGGCAAGGCGTCTGACGAGCTTCACGCTGCCGCCGGCGCCAGCACCCAAATTCTCTCCGAACTTCCCGTACCGCTTCAGAAACGGGAGTGGGTTCTGGCTCGTCGGGTAGTTGTTGCTGTTTGCTGGAAGCTGGCTCATCATCATGGACGACGAGTAGGACCCCGAGGCGACAGACTGTCGGGACGACGTAGAGCCGATGGAGAAGCCGCTTTGCACCACAGGTGAGGATGCCACGGGCGAGGATGATATCCCGCCGTAGGTGGGGTTTCCGTTCGCGCGTAACGACGGATACGACACGGGGATCGGGTTGGTACCATATGAACCCGAGAGACTGCCGCTGGCGTTGCTGGACGAGGCGGAGCCGGAGCTCCCGCGCTTGAAAAACCGCTTCAAGTTGGCCATCGACGAGTGGCGGGTCGAGGACTCCTGGGAGGATGTCGAGACTGGCGAGCTGGAGATCAAGTCAGACTTGCCGTTGAAGTAGCTGCCCATGTTAGAGTGAGAGCTATTGCGCAGGCGCGAGCTGCCGTACAGCCCTGGCTGCGGCGATGCGGTGCCCGGCTTGAGGCTTGAGCTGCTCGCCTGCAAGCTGCTGCTGAGGAACAGCGCGGATGCCGCCTGGATCCCCGCAACCTTCTGTTTAGAAATGACAAAGCGCGCTTCAATCTTCTGCGGGTTAACGTCCGGTGACTGGATAAGAATCGACTGGATTGGCTGCCCGTTCGCGAGGTTCGGCACGTACGACGTCTGGGACAACAGACTCGGGGTGCCAGGCGGCGCGTGGGCACGCCCGCCGGGGATCGAGTAAGGGATGGAAGATGACAAGCTCTCCATTCCGTGCGCAGACTGAGACATTGAGCGGAGACGTGAGCTTCGCGGTGAGATGGGCGCGCGGATCGGCGGCGCCGGATAAGTTCTGTAGCCTTGGCCCTCGTCGTCGTCATCGAGGATGGCGGTATCCACTGGCAGGGCAAACGATTTCTCCGCAGCATCCGGCGAGGCCGAAGAGAGCCTGACCTCCGCTATCCCGAGCGAGAGGTTGGATTCACGCAGCTGCATCAACTTCGTCAAGCCACTGGCCGGCTTGGCTCTGAAGACAAGTTCATCGTCGTCCATGGTGAAATAAGAAAGTGTGCAGTGAGGAGAATATAAAAAAGTACCGCTATGACTTACTATCTAGAGCAATGTAAGCAAGTGTCTGGAGTAGATGCCTGTTTGTTTGACCTCTGGGGTCATGTTGGTCCACCAGAATTCTTAATCGGTGGCAGTTGGCTCTACGACGCGGTGACTGGGGGGATTTTGGGCACCACGGTCGTGCGCACAACAGACGCACGTGCGGGCGCGATTCACCGCAGCTTTATAGGCCAGATAACACGTGAGGGCACGATAGGCGAGGCGCTGGGGCTTATCTCTAGATGGCTCATCAATGTAGCAGATAGCATAGGGACCATATCCGATTATCGCAATATATTCCTAAGCTTACTACACAGGCTTTACTTGGACAGACCCGAAAATTAAATTTTCGACCGTTGGAGCCCAATTGTGGCTAACCGTCACACGGCATTTTTCAATGCTCGCTTAGGTTTGGCTGTCGAACCGCCAAATAGCTGTTTTGTCGGCTTTCCCCGCATGTGCTGACGATGAGGGTCTATAGTGTACCTTCCAACGACTATTTTTTAAATTGCAATCCAATTCAAGGTGCCATCTATCTCTATCAGTTGATCAAAAAAAAAAAAAAAACACACTTTGTGTCCATGACTTTCTGAGTTACCCTTCAGCCAGTTCCTTCGATGCATGTCGTGGGCGATTCGCCGATGCAGGCGCGCCGGAGGATGACGTAGTGCAGCTCCTGCTTCTCCGAAGACTGCGTGCGGCGACGGTCCTGGTGGAGGGACTGAAAAAGATTACGTTCAGTGCTATAGATGAGCTCGGGATGGGTTTAAGCCTTTTGAATAAAGGGAAATGACATTTTTTGGTAAGCCAAGTTAGACACCCGTGCTTCCAGTTGTTTAGATGTGCCCTGCACGAGCCCAGCCCTTACGGTTCGTTAACAAAAGAATATTCTGTAACTAGCTCTATTATACAATATATGACAATACTTCAACAAATCAAAGACTATGAACGATCGCTTCCGCGATGGAATGGAAACAAAGTTTGCTCCCCCAAGGGATGAAACACCTACTTGCCCTCCTTGAGCAACTTGCTGTGTTCGTTGAATAACTCCTCGTGCATCTTTCTTAACTCAGTGTAGGCCTGGGTCATCTTCTTGACCTGGGACTCCAAGTCAGCAACCTTGCCATTGTTCTCCCCAGTGACCTTTACCTCGGAGTCAACTGCGGTCAAGTTTTTGAAGGCCAACTCCTGTCTCTTGACCTCGTCCAACCACGCTTCAAACGTCTCCTCTTCGTCATCAAGACTCGGCACCTCCATCACAATATCATGCTCGCGGACATCAGCAGAGGCAATTACTCGCTTCAACTGCGGAATCAAGCGGTGTGCCTTGTCGTTCTTGGATACGAGCTCGCCGGAGTTGTCGCTGGCCGTGGCCCGGAAGACTTGGAGTTGCGAAATGGCGCCGTGTAACGGCTTCAACGTTTTGATGATCTGTCTGGTGGCAACATCGGAGATGTAGACCCCACCTTGGGAGTCCCCAGAGACAAGGAAGGTGCCGTCCATGGAGATGGCAAGACAGGTGACTGCAACCTTTTGTGTTGCGGTCTGCTGTTGGGCAGAAAGCGCAAACGTGTGGTTCATGCTCGGATCGGTGTCCAAGGTGATGATCTTACCGCAACCACCCACAGCCTCAACGATGTTGGTGGCAGTGTTTGCCTGGTACAACGGTATACGTCTGACCTGGCCATCGGCTAAACCAGCGTACACGGCTCTCAAGCTCGGGTCAAGCACCATACATCTAACGCCCTCGGCAGAAACGACAAAGGTGGTGAGGAGCTTGGCAGTGAGGAGGTCGTACACACGCATGGTCCCGTCCAAGGAGGCGGTAAAGACCTTGGTGTCGTTGAGCAACGCAGACTCCGTGACACACACGGCGGTGACTGGCAACGTGTGGTCCGAGACCGACCAGACGGGCTTCTGCATGCGGGACTCGTCAAAGTCATCGACTGAGGCCGAGGTTGCTAGGTTCGAGGTGTAGAGACCCACGAGGTCGGCCGTTCTCCACACGAGAAGTCTCCCGTCTTTGCCGGCCGAGGTGAGATAGGAGCCAGACTTTGACGCTTGTAAACACGTTACCGACTGGTAGTGCGCTTCTCTAACGGAGAGGAGCAATCCCAGGGCCAACTCCCACACAAAAAGGCGGCCGCTGATGCCACCACCAACAAGTAACCAGGGGAGACGGAACTGCGGCTTCTGGTTGCCCGTGGCAAGCGTACCGCTGGTGGTAGACCCCATGAGCGGGTGTGGCACCAAAGTGAGACACGCAAGCTGCTCAGGCAACGGTATACGCTGGTCAGGAGCTTCCTTCCCGTACGAGTACACATGCATAAGCGCCTTGCCGGGGCACGAGACAAAGAGGCGCTCGCCGGAGGATGGAGAGCCGGTCATGATAGCACCGTTGGTCGGACACGTAGCCTGGCGGAAAGCAGAGTACTGGTGTGATGAATGCATCGAGGTGATCATCGCGGTGGTAGCGTTGTCCTGGTGCGATTTACCAGTGGAGGTGGCCGCAGAAGGAGAGCCCTGGGAGATGTAGAACACAGCTTCGTCCATTGAGTGATTAGAGGGTAAGGAAATGCACGAATCAATGATTTAACTACAAAAATGGGCGTTGCAGTTTGTTTTATCGGCGTGTTTTGCGTGGAAAATTCTAACGCATGTAGGAATATTTTTGCAAAAAATAATTTTGTCCACTGCTGTGCGGAGTAGAGAGCGCGATGAGATGAGCCGCGGGGGGGGATAATGTAAGGGAAGAGGAGGTGATGAACTTGGGATTTTATGTTAAATAGAGATTGCAATAAACATTAGGATAATCCTAGCAAAGACTAAACTGATAGCCACAAGGGGTTTTTATTTTCCATGGATTAGGGTAACAGCTGAGTTTTCGACGATTCGAAGTTGGCACTCGATGCTGTTCATACCGTGGCTCTGTCAGATGGGACAGGTATCACAAGCCTCCAAAGGATATTTTAGATGTATATTGTCAATAAATAAACTTGAATAATAATCATGAATAATCTCGCGATCTGAACTACCACTACGGTTTACAGCATACATCATATGACCGACAATAATGTTAGCCAACTGACATGCTCCATAAAACGTTACTATGAAACACATCGACTTAGAAAGTCCCATTTAGCCACACGAAAGTTACTCCAGTACCCTTTTGTAAAGCATCGGAGATATTAGTATCCCATCCCAAACCAACATTGTAAACTACAAACCCAGCCCCCATCACGTGATCCAGATCAATATCTACATGCAGCTTTTTCACCTGGCATACGCCTACTATGGGCCTGTACATAGTTTTAAGATTCTTTCACAACGTCTCCTATTCATCCAGCCTCTTTCTCTCTTATACTCCTCCCATCCATATCATGCCAATTCATATTATCGGGACGATAGTCACGGATGGCCCGCAAGCGGTGCCCGGCTGGAGCATCTTCAAGGCGTACGCGCCGGTGGCGCTCGCGCTCGCAGCGCTCAAGTACTACATGGGTGGCACAACCAACACGTGGGAGCGCGACATGCACGGTCGTGTATTCATAATCACGGGCGCAACGAGCGGGTTGGGTGCGTATGTGGCTTACGACCTTGCGGCGCGTGGTGCGCAGCTCGTGTTGCTTGTGCGCGCGCACGACGAGTGGACCGTGGACTACGTGAGCGACCTCCGTGACAAGACCGATAACGAGCTCGTGTACGCGGAGGAATGCGATTTACTGTCGCTCTACGCAGTACGCAAGTTTGCGACCAAGTGGTTGGACAACTCGCCGCCACGCCGCCTCGACGGCGTGCTCTGTCTCGCGGGTGAGATGGTCCCACCGCTGGCGCAGCGCCAGGTGTCCGTCGATGGCTGTGAGCGCCAGATGGCCGTCAACCACCTCGGCCACTTCCATCTCTTAGACGTGTTAGCTCCCGCGTTGCGCGTGCAGCCCGCGGACCGTGACGTACGCGTGGTGCTCACGCTGTGCTCCGCGCAGGCGTTGGCGCCCAAAGTTGCGCGCGATGATCCGCTCTGTATGCAGCGCCGCTACAACCCGCGTAAGCCGTGGCAGTTTTACGGTGCGTCCAAGTTGCTCACCGGCATGTTTGCTTGCGAGTTCCAGCGTCGATTGGATGCGTACGAGCGCAAGGATGGTGCGCTCAACAACACGCGTGTCAACATCGTCAACCCCGGCATTATGCGCAGTGCTTCCACCCGACGCTTTGTCTCCTGTGGTTCTGTCCTCGGCTTGCTCCTCTACTTGATGTTCTACCCTATCTGGTTTTTGTTCTGGAAGAGCGGAATGCAGGGCGCGCAAAGCGTTCTTTACGCGCTTATGGCGCCTGAGTTCCGTGATATGCGCGGCGGGCAGTTCATCCTGGAGTGTTCGATCATGAAGCCTATGCGAAAGGAGCTTCAAGACGAAGAGTTGCAAAAAGAGGTGTACGATAAAACGGTCGAGGTTATCGTGGCGCTCGAAACCAAGTCGGCCATTGAGCGGAACCGCAGTTTGCCCCTCAAGGAGAAGTTGAAGCGCGGCGCGGCGACAAAGGGCGCGAAGCTTGCGTTAGACAAGAAGTTGGAGGAGATTCGCGAAAAGATTAGCATCCCGGTGCAAAATGATGTGTTATACCCGGAGGAACCCGTGATTGCCAAGAGGAAGGTGAAAGGCAAGAAGTAGATAGCTAGAAGAGCTGATAAGCCGTTGAAGTTTATCAGATTATCATATATACCTGAATTTGCTAGAAAGAGAGTGAAGGCATTTTGACCATTGGCAGGCACCCTCAAATAACGAGCGCTGTTAAATAATAACATAAATCGAGCTACGTCTATAGTAAAGTTTACATATAATATATTAAATTGAATGGTGGAAAAAGTTACATCGAGCTATTTAAGCTGAAACCCCTTAAACTCTTCATCCTCAACCTCTTCAAGTGACGGAGCTTTTACCAACGTCTTGGTTGGTAACTCTGCTGGGGCTGAGACAGAAACTATCGTTGGTTTCTTAGACAGGACTTGAGATTCAGGCTTTTTGACCACCTGTGGGATCGGTGAATTCGTTACTGGTCTCGGAGAAGGTGGCTCCGAGACACGAGGAACCGTATCGGAGAATGGCGAGGATTGACATTGGGTTTGTGGGACTGAAGCGGAGACGGCAAGTGGGTGAGCAAAACTATAAGGACCAACGAAAGAGTGAAATAAAAATTGTTGGGCTTGCTCCGCTCTTTTACCGTATGCTTCAGCTTGTATTTGTTGATAAGCGCGAATGGCAGCCTGTTGCAACTCCTGCTGTGCCTTTCTGGCTTCCTCTGCTTCCTGTACCTTTCTGGCGAATTCTTGTTGCATTTGTCTTTCCAAGGCTTTAACAGTTTGCTGTCTAACAAACTCACGCTCGGCTTGTGCCTTCTGCAAAGCTGCAAGTCTGGCAGCTTCTTCCTGTTGCTGCTTTAACAATTGCTTCTGTAGCTTCTGCTTCTGGAGTTCTTGCTTGCGTCTGGAGATATATGGAACCCTGATAGCCAAGTAGGAGTCGTCGACGGTGGTGTAAGAGGTCTGGGACAAGTCGTAATCACCAGCATCGAACTGGAACACCTTTACAAGCTTGTCACTTTCAGAAACAATCTCCAAATCGCTGACGGTGCTCGATCTGTTGTAGAACTTGATCTGGTAGTCCGCAAAGACATCTTCACCCCCCGCAGCATGCTTGGCGATGGTAATTTGATAATCGCCATCAGCCAAATGTTTCAGGGTAACCCGAGGCTTGAAACCTTCCCTGGGAGCAGAAACTTGTGACTGAAAGGTAGCGCTTTGGTTAGCAATGTGCTTCAACAAAGTATTGAGGCTGTCAGATGCATATGCCGGAGACGCGGTAGCCGGACAGTAGGCTGGCTGGTAGATGCCGAATGGTTGTGGGGTAAATGGAGAGTACATAGAGGAAAGTGGTTATAAAGTTGATCAAGCTTAGATTGCTGAGGAATAATGGAAACAAAAATCTCTGAGTGGCACCTGGCTCTTATATACCCTCAGGCTATATAGTGGAAGCTTCCAGAAGAGGCATAAAGCTACGACATTCCTAATGTGACATCGCGAATATTAGTAAGGAACGCCCCAGAACATTCTAGAAACGTGACCTACAAAAAAGCGATTAGTAACCAACCCAGATGTGCAAATCGCAATTATCTGTGAGCTACATTTTGTACACCTAGATGGTACTCTAGATTGACAAAGTTTTAAGTTAGTGATGCCGTACTATGCAATAGAGTGGACCAAAAAGAGAGCACACGATACAAACATTTGTAATCACGAGCATTGATATCCAATCAGTGAACTGATCCTTATACCTAAACATTAAAATACACAGATTGGAGGCTTAGCTGTAGCAGGCCCTGTGTTTATTTAAACTTGTTATACCATTTTTTTGGTTGTCACTTTTGTCTATTCGTCGTATGCGACCATGAGGGCCTGTTGTGGGTAATAGAAAACGCGGGTCATGATTGAAATCATCTCTCCATGTTCCAAGTTAAAGGGCTCACCATAAGCCAGTCTCTGTGCCTAGCTCCAATCTCAAAAAAAAAAGATGTACCAGCCATACCTGCCTGATATCTTTTCTTTACTAGTCAATAACGTAGCTTCCCTGTTTCCAAGCGGGAAACTTGGTTTCCTGAGAATACCTGGAGCCTATATACTCACATAAACTTCAGCCTCTACGCTGAAACCAGAAAACGCTAATTAAATATGCTTATCATATATTAGTTTTCTATATACAGTGCAAGTGAATTCCCCTGCTGTTTGGACGACCCCCAAAAAGCTCAACTTTTTAGATGTCTGAATGGATGTAGGAGGCTTAGAGAACAACCTTGATACCCATGGACTGGGCGACACCGCAGACGGACTTGCAGATACCTTCCAACTCCAAGTTCTTGTGTCTTTCGTCGGTCTTCTTGATCTTGGCGATTTCGTAGATGTGCTTGACGGAAACCTCGCCGACGGGCGCGTTCATCTTACCAGCGTTACCGGAGCCCTGCTTGATTCCAGCCGCCTGCATCAACAACCAGCCGGTAGGTGGGGACTTGAGCTCAAAAGCGAAGGTTCTGTCTGGCTTGATGGTGATGAGAACCGGACATGGGGTGCCTGGGTTCAAGTTACCGGTTCTGGCGTTGAATTCCTTACAGAAGTCAATGGCCTTGACACCCTTGGAACCCAAAGCTGGACCGACTGGCGGGGATGGAGCAGCTTGACCGGCACCAACAATTAATTTGACAATAGTGTTCCTAGCAGACATGGTTGGGGACTGGTGAAGGCCACTCATCGTTGCCAGCTCTTGATACGGTATTTTTCATCGGTGAGTAGCGTGCGGAAGAAAATTTAGCGGACAAAAGGCAGGATATTTGAAAGGCGCACGCATCGCTGGGGCGTATAGCAGTGCCAGCCCTGCTTAGAGAGTACTACAGTTGGTGGATTCAGACTGAAGGAGATAATAATTGGGCTCGAAAGGGTCTAAATGACTACTTTTAGCATATATTTACACCATTACTGTATCCACCTTAATAAACCAAGGAAGAAATCGGACCTAACTGGGGTCAAGAACAAGAAAACCCACGAGTTATACGCCCAACCAAATGCTTATACATGCTTGCTACACTTAAAATACCCCCCCCCCCAAAAAAAAAAAAAAAAAAAAAAAAAAAAAAAACTCGGGTCTCGGGTTGCTATCATTTTAGTTCTACCGTGGCTCGTCCCGTAATTGACAGTCCACCTCCACTACATCTCCTCCAACATGAATATTATTTATGCTAAACTCTTCTCATCTTTCTCTTGTTCCCGGTCTTCGAACCTGATCTCTTCGCAGACGGCGGCGGCAGGCTCGCGGTCTTGTGGGTCAACCGGGTGTAGACCAAGTAGTACGCCGCAGGGTCGCGCAATGCCTGCTTTTCGGAAATTTTGTTGAGATACTCGTCGTCGTACGTGTTCCAGGTACCGTCGGGTTGGCGCGCATGCGCAATGTAGTGCCCGGATGAGACAGAGCGGCCGGCATGAACAATAACGCTGATCAACTGGTACTTAACTGGCTCGTTACCGGAAGTGTACTCGGTCAAGTCCAAGATGTTTGGGTATGAAACCGGGTGTTTAACTTTGGAGCCAGAGCTGCCGTTGAACCGGAAGCGTTTCAAGTGCACGGCCAACGCTTCTGGCGCACGGTTGATCTTTGACTGCTTCAACGCGGCGGTTTTCTGCTTGCACGCGTCGCAGTCGTACCCGGAATTGGCGTCCTTCTTGTCCTTTCTGATGATTTCCTGGGAAAAAAAGTCTTTGATAGAGTTTTCAAGGGAATAGCGATGGGCCGGGGCTTCCTCTAGCACAACGGTATTCCCCAAAGCATCAGGTTCCTGCAACAGAGCCGCCTTCTTTTTCTTGCTGTCCAAGCCCAAACTCAAGTCGTAGAACTCCTGCTGGGTCTCACTTTTCGCGTGGCAGCTCTTGCACACCACGGTCTGGTCCAACAAACCACCGAATATATCGTAAATAATGCTCTCGTTCAACTTGGTCCCGGAAGGCGTGGAGTCTTCCTGCAAACGCGATAACAACGACATAAAGTACTCGTGCGAGTCCTCCTGCTGCCACGCGGACATCATGCAGTTGATGTCGTCCAAACGGCCAATCAACTTCTTGGGGTTGACGTACTTGGTTGGCTTGGCGTCATTCCACATACGGTGCGCAAGGTCTGCCATCACGTGTGATACTGAGCGCGACTTTAATACCGCGTTGTACTTGCCCGCGTGGACGTCATTTAAATAGTGCTGGACGGCTGGAATGTGGATCATCGCCTGCACGGCTGAGTTCATGTAACATGTGACGCCGTGGTTGAGCAAACCAACGGGTTTTCCCTTGATTTCGCGCCAGTTCTTGTAGATGCGCGTGGAGCCGTTTGACCCGCGGTCCTCTGAGTTTTCGTTGATGCCTTGAAACTCAGCGAGCGAGTTGGCGATGATGTGCTTGGTGTCGTCTTCTGGGGATGTTGGTGGAGTCTCCGCCCGTGCCTTGGCCGAGGCTTCGGAAATATCCGAAGCATCTGAGGTTTCCCCGGACGGCGTCGCGCGTCTTTCTGTGTCATTTATCTCTGAAACTTTCATCACGCCGTCTTCGCCAGGTTGGGGGACTTCCACGCCCTCATCTTCGGACTGGGAATCCTCTTCTCCGTCTTCAGATTCAGATTCAGATTCCTCCTCCGCCGCGGCAGCGACGTCACTGTTGTAATCCACATCCTCCTCGGAGGTGTCATCCACCCGGTCCACCGCATCCACAAACCTTTCACTTCCGGTCTCATCACTGTCAGACTGATTATCATTTGGGGTTTCGGATTCCGGTTCGGAAGCTTCAGATTCCACCGGGGAGCTTTCGGGTTCTGTTTCCTTCTCTGAGGAATTCTCGGATGCTTCAGCCACATTTCTGGCCTCGTCGAGGTCCTTCCCCAAGTCTTCTTGCATTTTCTCATCCTGCTGTTTCTGTTTCCCTGCTTTCAGTTCGGCTTTAGACAAAAATCGCTTATTCGTGTATGCGGTAACCGCTTCCAACATGCTCTTTGGCCGTTTCATTTCGTCTTCCGCGATCTGCTGTTGTTTTAACACGGCCTCCTCTCTTTGCGCGAGGATCTGCTGTTCTTGTAGTTTGAGGAAGTTTTCAGACACCTGGTCGGTTAAGACAATGTAGTTGGTGGGTCTGACGTTGGCAAGCTTGTCTTTTTGGCGTGCGGGAACAAAAGTCAACGGGTTGCTGAGGATTCTATCGACAAGGGGCGCAACACTATCCGGGAGAATATCCGACAATGACATTTATGTTGATTGGCGCTGGCTGTCAAATCGATGCGTGTTTCGAGAAGCTAACGCAAAAGAAAAACGCGCCTAAAATAAAAATCAAGAAAAAAAAATTCTTCGCCGCGCGCAGCTAGCCCTTTTTCTTTTTCGTGCTATTATCCCAATGCGGCAAAGCGTGGGGCGATAACAAGTGCACATCTCCTAAGCCCCGGATAGGTGCTAAAGGCTGTCAACGATAAGATGTGTGGACTAGCTGTGCTTCTATACATGCATCACCACCAGGAAACCTGGTGCTAGGGATACACTGGGAGACTGGGCGCTGGAGGTGATCCAGGGAGTGAATATCACTCATTTTAGAAGGGGAGCCGTAGTACATGCGGGTTCTCTTAATCCCTTTAGTCTATGAGGCTATGGGCACCAGCTAGCACTGTATGGACGCTTTAGACTTTTCAACTCTTCAGTCTGGATTAATGCCTTTACGAAATTAGCGGTGGTTTACAGATCCTCTGCCTCTCGTGCTAGATAGCGAGCAGTGATTTATGCTGGTCTGACGACAATTTTAAAGGTATTTGAGCCAGGAAGTGTGATTATGGAATTTAAATCAAACTGCGGGTTACTGGAATCCAAATATCGGATATAGAATGACAATGTATAATAAAGTTTAGAGCAGATGAGTTAATTGCCATGTGATACGCTGATAAAGCTCTGATACTTTTGATAAAAAGATATTGCAGAGTTATGTATACGTAGTAGCCACTACCAAAAAATTGCACTTGTTACAGATGAATCCAGTTATGGACTTTAAATGATTTTTAGAGAGCATGTGAAATGGTCGTTTCCTTTGATTTTTTTTTGGTTGCACATGTAGTTTATTCGAGAATGTTAGATATCACGTGAATGAGGTCTATGCATGACAGAGCTCATCGTTCATCTCTCATCGTTCATCTCTCATCATTCATTCTCATCATTCATTCTCATCGTTCATAGCCCATTACCAATAACTCGACGTATAATTATCACCTAATGTCACATATACCCCATTGATCATACCCCAATGCCTTACAAGCTAGTTGCATCCACTGCCAGACAGCTACGTCCGCCCCTCACACAGTCATGGGGTCGCGAAGACCTTCAACATACGTTGCTACAGAAGGCGACCCCAGACTATCCCTACCCAGCCCTTTCTCCGGCAATTTTGGAGATCACCCAGGGAAAGACCGCCACAGACTTGAAATTTGAAAACCAGCCCAATATTCCGCGTCATTTACAGTGGTCGCACGACGGCTCATCCTTTGTGACTGTCAATGAAGATTTTGGCTGCCGGTTGTACGTGGTTCCCTCAGATGTGTTGTCAGCCACTCCGGTGCCAAAGGAGCTTGTTCCATTCAGCAGAATGTTCCAGCCATATCCTATCATTGCTCACTCCGTCAACCCAGAGTTTTCGTTGTACAACCCAGAGGAAACAATGGCCTGCAACAGCATGCTTGTATCAATGAAGAACCTCCCAATTCGAATGCTTGACCTTATCCCGGGAGATGCGCGAAACTTAGTGGCACTGTACAAGTTTGAAGACCTACTGAACGACCGCTTTTTTACCACCTATTCCTTGGCTCATTACGATGAGACCACCTTTTTTGCAGGCTCGGTGAACAAAGTGGCCGCCTTTGATGTTACCAGACAGCATGAACCTGCGTATGTTACCAGTCTCACGGGGTGCCACAAAATGGGAATTGTTAGCACAATTGTACCGTCTCCGGAGCTCGGGCGCGTCTATATTGGATCGTACAATGGAAAGGTATCGATCGTAGACGTGGGGTCTGCGCTTCCCGTGCTATCGAAGGCCATGTCTCTGGAAGATTCCGGGAGCGGCTGCGGGCCCGAGCGCGAGGGTGTCACACAGATATTAGAGTCCCAGAATGGAAAATACTTGTTCGTGGTTAGGCGAAATACAAACACGATATCGATCCTTGACTTGCGAATGGACCTTGAACTAGTCGGGTCGTTGACCAAACTTGAGCTGCCGTCTCTAAAGCCCACCTCTAACCAAAAAATGTATGCAGACTTGTTACCCCAATCGCAGGGATTACTTACGGGGGATGTCTACGGAAACGTACAATGGTTCAGAGACGCCGAGCTTGGAATGGACTGTACTAAACCGGAAATTCTCATTGCCGGGGAAGCCAGCGCGACCACCATATCAGCGGTTAAAGTGAACCCCGTGGAGCCAGGGATACTTGCAACGGCGTGCGGTGTTCGGAGAGATACCGCTTTCGATCTGGAAGAAGATACCGAGGAGGCTGACTGTGGGGTAAAGATATGGTACAAGTAAGGTGCGATTCTCTACCAAAAAGTCTTGTGAGATTCTCGTATACCAATAGTAGACTGTGGCACTTAAGATCGTTCCTGGATCTACAACAATTAGACACAAATTTAGGGTCATATTACCGGTTACATAGCGGAACATGTTACGATAGGCGAATAGGTCAGGACAACATAGATTGTACGCTAGCACCAAACTCAGCAATCTAATCCATAAGATCTTTGCATCAAAAAAATAAAAAAAAACCTTACACACCAATACAGTGACAGTGTGGTAAGCGTGTAGCTATCACGTGGTAGAGATCAATACTCTATATAAGGAGGTCGATTCCTTCCTCCTTTACCCTATATACATTATATAGGCAACCAGTATTACTATTACTATAAGTAGATATTCTACCTTTGAGGTAGAGATATACCACCGATAGTATAATCAGTGACAGCAAAAAGGGATGGTGAAACCACCGAGAAAGAAATGAAATTAGGATGTGAAAAGCAGGAAATAGATAAAAAGAAAAGAAAAGCACGAGCACCACCAGGGGACAGCTTCCAGACACATAGAAGGTCGAGTTATTGACGGTTCTTACAAAATGGTACACTTCTTGGAGGCCTTCTTAGGTCTGGCTCTGGAGACCGGAATAGAACCAGCCTTGGAGTTATTGGTGGCGGCCTTGATAGCAGGGGACGGGGCAACAGCTTCTTCGCCCTTTGGAGGGGTTATGACAGCCCTGATGGCAATGTCAAAGATCTCCTTGACACCGGTCTGGGTGGCGGCGGAGCATTCCATGTAGTCTACACAGCTCAACTCCTTGGCCATCTTGGAGCCCTGGAGATGCGAGATTGGGTGCAATCCCTTCTCCGTCAACTCGTCCAAGTGGTGCGGGTCCTCCCTTAAATCGATTTTGGTCCCGACCAACAAGGTCAAGATGTCCTTCGGACTGTGATGCAAGATCTCCGGGTACCACTTCAACTTGATGTCCTCGTAGGACTTTGGGTCCATGACGGAGAAACAGAGCAAGAAGATCTCGGTCTGGGGATACGAGAGCGGTCTCAATCTATCGTATTCGGACTGACCAGCGGTATCCCACAAACCCAACTTGACGGCCTCACCGTCAATCATGACATTGGCGGAGTAGTGGTCAAACACGGTTGGAATATAGTCGTGAGGGAACGAGTTTTGGGTATAGCTGATCAACAAACAGGTCTTCCCGACCCCACCGTCGCCGACGACGACACACTTGATGCTTCTCATTGTATAGATGGTTGTTATGGGGGGATGCGCTGTAAAGATAAAGAAAGAAGAATGGGGCCGAAGTTATAGCGAAATTCCAAACAAGGGTGACGAGATGCGTGAGAAAAAGTGAAAATCGGAAGGCTGCAGAGGTGCAGGCGCCCCGGCGACATACGCGAGGGCACAACGCCAAGGTTAGAGCCAAAAAAAAAAGACACCTTCGTGGAGCTTAAAAAAGGTAAAAAAAAGACTTCTTGCATAATATATACAGCGCCTTTGGTGGATAAAACGGAAGATATGGCGGTTTTGTTCTTTAGGTGTCCCAATGTGCCAATGGTCGGACACCCGCCCCATGCAGGTAACTCGCACGTCACCAAGACGAGGCGGAGGGGTGCAGCTACCAATAAAGTGGTAATAACACGACCAAGTAACAGTCTCACAACAGCACACGACCCACCTGATGTCTACTACAGATTATGTGTAAGGGCGATTCCGTGGTGCTCCGAACGACTTGGGCTTAGTTGACAAATGTGCCTGTAAATCCCTCCTGTGATATGTGCTAGGCGGTCATGGCGTCTTATTTTAGCCAGCTATTGCTGGGTTTGATGGCTGGCATATGCACGATCCAGAGCCCATTTTGACAATCCCTACACGTAGTAAGTATACGAATTGGTGGCGACTGATAGACAGCTCCACGCCATTTCTCTCGCATAAATGCCTTCATCGTACGGGCAGTAGTAAGGTATGAGCTAAGTTACAGATGACCAGAATGGATGACAGACTGAGAAACTATTAGCTTCTGTATTTAATGGATATTAGTGCTTGTATGTCTGGCCCATCCTTTGACCCTGACCGATTAAGGCGTGCTGTGTCTTAACGCAGTCTTTTTGGGGGGCTTCATCCACCGCTTTCATGCACGTCTGTGCGGCACGCATTCCCCGAGTCTCGCTCTGTATTTCGAGCTAATTATTTCTAGGGTCTGGCAAGTCAGATAAGCATACACTTTTTATTAACTGGTCTAGAGATAGCCGAAGGTCGATGAAATACTCTTGGATATCAATGAGGCTCCAACCAATACTAGAATAACAATGGGAAGGTTCCAATTTTAATGATTGGAGCGCTCCAACTTTAACAATGGGAAGGCTCCAGTATGGAATGTGAAATCGTATGCCTATCTGACTTGCCAGATCCGAGATACGCAGTCGATATCATTAAACCGTTGATATAAACATCTCCAGGTCACCTATTAATTATGGTTTTAATAGTAGCCCACCTTGAGCAGGAAAAAAAAAGACCAATCTATTAAAGTAGCAGGGTAATATACATGGCTATCGGAACTGACACCCAGCCAACGTGAAAAGGCGTAATAAAATTCAGCAAAGTTATAGATTTACAAGCCCATGACAACGGCAGCGGCCAAGGCAGCGGCGCCCGCGACGGCAAAACCAGCGTTGGAAGAAGCAACACCGCCGATGTACGAAGAGGTGACCTGTGGAAGGGTGATGTTAGAACTGTTCAGATGGGCTGGGCAGTTGGTGACTTCTGGGCCACAAGAGGTGATGGTGGCAATAACAGTGGAGTCCTGAGTAACGGTGGTGACGTTGGCAGCAGAGACGGCAGCGGCAGCAAAGACGAGGGTAGAGAATTGCATTATGAAAGAGTGACGAAAGTTGGAATTAGAATCTAAGGATAAGGAAAGAGAGAAAACCAGAGCGAGGGGGATTGTTTGCCTTATTTATATTCAAGTAATTCATAGGCTTATTTTTCTTTTGTTATGATTCTTAAAACATCAACACAGTAAATGGTCCAAGCATCCGAAACTCCTGTGGCTTGCATGCATATGCTATCTCTGGCACCAGCACCTTGCGTGAAAACTGGACGAAGCTAAAGGAGGCTGCATGCATTTCTCAGAAACGCTGGCTAGGCCATGTGTATCAGCTCAAATCTAGAAGGACCAGAACCATTTAAGGGGCTTAGAAAGCTTCCAGCAGAAGGCTAATAGAGTGATTCCGGGAGAATTACCAGGATCAGAGATCACGTACTCATTTCAAAGGGTTTACCCGATCGAGGAAACTCAGTTTTCCAACTACAGCAAGTTTTTGTCCAAAAGTCCAAAAATCAGAGGCACGGTGGTTTTCAGACACAATAATAGGAAACCTCAGGTAAGCCAGCGTTTAGGAGAGTCTAGGTCTTCCCCCGAGATGCGGACCGTTAAACGTGTGCTCTGAAACGGCATCTAATGGTGTTAGTTGTATTATGATACATGCTCGAGTATGGATTGGGTAGGGGAAGAAGCAAAAACGGGAGCCCTAAACCTATGAGCCACCTGATCGGGAAGCGATTAGCCTCAAACAAGACGACCATGCAGGCGGGAGCTCGAAGGGGCTTTCGTCCACAGAGACCTAGGCATGCCATCCCTCCTTACAGTCTGTCGCCCAGCTAATCAGGACTTTTCAATCTAACCGCGCGTCAAACTTTTTCATGCTGCACCAAGCCGTTGCAAATCCTGCGGTTTGGGAGCTCAGACGCGTATCTATCCGTATTCAACAGCCAAACCTAGATCGAAGTTTATTCTGTACCTATAATGGACAAAGACCTATGCTGAACAGAAGATGAACCAAGAACGGAGAAGACCAAAACGGATTGCGAATTCATCAAAACGATCCACTTTCAAACACAATGTCGGGTAAATACCTTATACAAACTGACTAGTGACTGGCTAGATTGGTGTCACAATCATCCTGGGCCGTGTACGATAGGCATACGCCAATGAAACTCAAGGTCATGATGCCTTACTTCCCAGAACCGCGAAAAAATAAAACTAGGACCGTTGGTAAGATAATGTATTGAAAAATTTGCATCAAAGAAATAATATGGGTATAGAAAAAAAAAAAAAATCAAGCTTGCATCAGGCGGACCAGATGGTACGAGGAGTACAAGTCGTGGTGGCGTCGGTATTGCGGCTCGGAAGGAATATCAACTGTAGCCGCTGACAGCACGCACAACGGACACACCCTAATTCAGCTCATCCTCAACTGCCCCTTCCTTGACGTTGGTGTTGGTACCGGCTACAGCTCCCACATTATCGCTGGTAGTAGACTTGGTAGGAGCGTGAGGTGGAGCAAACTCGGAAGGCTGCCCGGCGTTAAAAGGCACGTGGTGTGGATAATACATGTAGTATTGTGGCATGGTACCCTGCGCGTACTCCATTCCTTCGTATTGGGGATAAGGCTGGTAGGCCCCGTAGTAATACGGTGGCATCGCCCCGTGGGCGATTGGCGCATACTCGTACGACCCATAAACCTCCTTGGTTGGAACGTAGTAAAAGTGTGGAATTGAAACCTGCGGCGGGTGCTGCACCTGGCCGGGGTCTACGTTAGGGCCTCTTCTCTTGAATCCCAGAACCTCGTCTGGTCTGTCGGAATACCCCACGGTACTCGGAGAGTAGAGTGTCTTGGAGAGGCCTGGAGAACCCGCGGTGTTCAAGCTCGGAGAAGTGCCAGGCGTGATCTCCTTTCTGCCTTTTATTTTCAGAGGCGTGTGGGCCTTTTCGCAGTCGTCGGTCAAGGTGTGCTCTAAATCGTCGTTGAGGGTCCTGTCGGTGCTATCGTCCTCTGGGGCATAGTAATCGATGCGGCCCCTGTCTTTAAATGTGACCGAAGACGCTTTGGAGCTATTGTGGTCGTTCCGGCTAAACCGCGAGGAGCGGAAGCTGGACACTTCGTTAGACGACGAGGTAGAGGCCTGTGCATACGATGGGAACCCAGAGTTGGACTTGAACGATCTAGACCCGTACATTGATTCTGCACGAGGGTTGATGATCTCACCGCTGGCCCGTCTGTTGCGAGAGAAGCTACCGTTTCCCTTGCCGAAACTGGAGCGGGACGAGACCGTACCTGTACTGGCCCGTCTTGACGGCAAGTTGATCGGCGGTGGTGCCAAAGTGAGCTTCATTTCGCTCGAACGCTTATGGTTGTTGTGGTGCATTTCACGGTACTGAACGTGCATGGTTTTCTCCATGAAGATGGCGTGGTTCTCCTTCTCCACGGCGGCCGCAGCGGCAACCTCAGTCTCGAATTTGATAAAACCAAAACAATTGTTGTTTGGCCGTTGGACCAAAACCGCTTCGGCAATCGGCCCGTGATTGCTGAAACGGTCCACCAACTTTTCTTCCGTCACCCGAGGGTCCAACTGGCCAACAAACACAGAGAACTTGTCGATGGTAACATCTTCTAGCATGTCAGCTGGGGAGTCCAAGTTTTGCGCCCATTCCACGATCCAAGCGCGGTCGTTACGCAAGTTAGCATACGCTCTGATAGCATCATCGCGGTACGCATACTTGCAAAAGAACGCATGGCTGGTCTTATCCCCAGAGCGGGCCTGTCTTGGGTGAAGGCCGCCGTACAACGGATAGGGCATGAGCTGTTCTACCTCACCAAACTCCTCCATGGACTCTCTGACGTGATCTACACCGAGTTCTTGAACCGACTCAGGAGCGATGTACAAGGTACGGTTCACTCTAGCTGACTCACAACGGATGGATCTGCCATCGAGAATAGAATGCTGACCTTCCAAGATTGCCTTTTTGGCGTCTACATCGGTTGAGAATTGGACAAACGCATACGGACGATTGGACGTATCTCTAAGTACCTTCACCATCGAAAGCTCACCCCACTAAAAACGCAACGGTTAATACGGATGCCAATGTACAGAGGGAACGGCTGTAACTTACTTTCAGGAAATGTTTCGTCACCGACATACACAAGTGGTCGTCGGACATAGAGGAGGAAAGGCTAAAGATGAGGTCAGAATTGGTTAACAAAGGGACAGATAAAACGTAATGACGTACCTTGCAACAAAGACACACGAAGACGGGCGACCGCGGAAGGAGCCGTTGTTGTGGCTCTGTGGGTCGTCAAACTTCTTTGCCGGTTTGGAGTCCTCAGATACAGCGTCTTGCACCTCCTCTTCACTTTCCAGGGCCCCCGCCTCATCCAGTTCAGACTCGTCTGAGGGGATAAGTGGCGGTGGGGCAAGGTTAGAGGAAAGAGGGTTAAGGAGAGCGTTCTCCTTTCCACCAAAAATCTCAACGTCTTTTGCAGCTTCTTCGGCAGCGTTGAGGTGAAGCCTCTCAGTGAGGACAGCAAGGAGATCACCGTTCTTTGGATGAGACATTGGAGGTTATCGTGGGCCAATACTAGGGGGGCGGATAGGTTTTATTAGGGGAGGGGTAAGACTAGAGCTAGGAGGAGGGTAGCTATTTCACTTCAAAAGCTGCAAGACTAACAAATGGTAAGGGTGAGGAAAATTAGAAAGAGAAAGATGGAGCGGCAATTGTAATAGGAAGTGTGGCGGACGGGGCGTTTAAATATAAATGCTTCAAAATGTGGTTTTGTGGTTATCGTTTTGGTAGGAAAGGTGCACGGGCATGATGCACCCCACAACCTCTCTCATCAAAAGGTCCCGCATCCACACTAACTGCGTGCCTGATGAAAGTAGAAGCCTTTAACACCAATATCAGAAGATACTAGGAGGACTATGAGTGACAGAACCGATGACTTAATAGAGTGTGCTGTAACTACATACAGTTGAAGCGCCTGTTTATGTTGCCAACGCGCACTTCCCTTATAACCCGGATGTCCCGTTATGAGAGCGCATCGCGTGCCAGACGCTGAGTGGCCGATAAAACGGTCCAGACTCGCTTTCAGAAAGTATAAAGTATGTTTGTCGCAATGGAAGTTGATAGGTGGCGTGGCTTATGTGATGTTGAAATAACACAACCTTGAAATGCAACTCGAGACAGGGCGTACGACGAAGTATAATAATCCCCATCTCACCGGGGGCCGACTGAGTTATTGAAGGTGTATACAATCAGGCCCACGATAAACGCAGAAAGGGGTGCACGCTGAAAAAAAAACGTATGCGATTTACAAAGCCAATACCGACGCCTCGGTCTACACTATTACCCACTTAATAAATAAATTTTAGTTAAAATGCCTAAAGGTAGATGGTAAAAGAGTTTGCAAGCTTCAACCTACACCTTGTTCTTCTTGGCCACAAACGACTCTTTCGACAACTGCACCAACACATCAATCTCTCCACTGTTCTCGCACATGCTGTGGAACAACGACTCCTGGTTAGAAATCAACGTGTACGGATCATCATACTCCACCACCCTCCCGGCGTCCATCACCAAAATCTTGTCGTAATCGATGATCGATCTCAATCTGTGTGCAATGGTCAAAATGGTACTGTTGGAGAATTCGTCTCTGATGGTCTGTTGGATCTTGGCGTCAGACTGGTAGTCGATCGACGCGGTCGCTTCGTCCAACAAAATCACCTTTGGCGACTTCAACAATGATCTCGCAAGACACATCAACTGCCTCTGCCCCTGTGACAAGTTACTACCACCCTCGCTGACCGGGTTGTTCAAGTTCAAGAACTTGTTGGTATTCTCGCCTGAAGCGTTGTCAGTGACGATAATCTCGTCGGAAGGCACTTCGGATGGCCCCATTAAGTTGACACGTCTCAAGGCCTGGTAGATGTGCTGGTCAGTGTACTGGTTGAAGGGGTCTAAGTTGGATCTGATGGTACCGGTGAACAACGTTGGATCCTGCGGAATGATGGTGATGGCCTGACGCAAGTCAAGCAATCCAATCTTGGTGATATCCACACCGTCAATCACAATGGAACCGGTTTCAGGGTCCAAGAAGCGGAAGAACGCGGTGATAATGGTGGACTTACCCGCACCCGTACGGCCGACGATACCCACCTTTTCGTTAGGCTGCACGTCGAACGTCACGTTCTTGATCACGCGCGGCAACTCTGGGGCGTAACGTAAGGAAACGTCCTTAACAGAGATCGCACCGTGTTCTGGCCATCTGGCAGGTGGGGCGTTCTCCGGAATGCGCTCAGCTGGTTCCTGCTCGATCTCCAAGTACTCCTGCAATCTCTCCACAGAGTTCATGTTCATTTCCACAATGGCGTAGAGACGCACGATCCACAATGCCGAATCACTGAAGGCAATAGCATATGAAAGAGACAAGCCGGCAAGACCGGCGTCGATACGGTCGATACTCCATAAAACAAAGATACCCGAACAGAACATTACCATGCACCCAATGGCATCGACACGGAACGACAACCATCTGTTGGAAACCCACAAGTAGAAGAATGGTCTGGAATTCTGGTCGATGCGCTCCAAGTTTTGTTGCATGAACCGACGTTCATCACCGTAGGCACGAATAGTAGCCACACCGGTCAAGGTTTCGGAAAAGTGCTGGTGGATAGGTGACTTGGTGATAGAATCGAATCTCTTCAACTCTCTGGAGGTGTTGACGTAGAAAATACCCACGGCCGAGTACGCACCGACGATCAAGAAGGCGAGAAGCAAGAACTGCGGAGTGATAACGGAGATGAGTGCAAGTGTGAAGAGACACTGTATGAAGGTCATGACAATCCCCTCGGCGCATGGGGTTAATTCCTGGTCCACCGACTCAATATCCTTGGAGAAACGATTCATGATACGGCCGATTGGGGTGGCATCGAAGAATCTCAATCTCGCACGCAAAACGGTGTACAAGACACGCTTGAAGATACGGTTGGAGGCTCTGATACCACCAAAGAAGCACACCAAGATTCTGATCGTACTGGAAAGCGCGTACACAAACCCAATGATGGAGTAGATAATGATATAGTACAAGGGGCCGTGTGCGTCCTTGATAACCACAGTTTCATACCCACTGGCAATGACCTGCGGGATGGAGGTGACGGTACGGACAAACGAGGCGATGGAAACCATGCTTGTGGAAGCTTGGAACTCAGAGGTGATCGACCACTTGCGCAACCACCAGGACTGGTACATATAGATCAACTGGGTGATAATAAAAAGCGACAAGAGGAAGGTCCAGGTTGGCCATCCACCGAAGATCTTGGCGTACCCGGAGTAGACTTTGAGGGAAACCACACCATCACTCTTGGACTCCTCCTCCACCAACTTACCCTTCTTCTTCTTGGACACGTTGATTGGAGTGTCGTCGGTGGTGGCATTATCGGAGGCAAGCTTCTTCAACTTGGCATCGATCTTGGCAGCCTTGTCTTTCATGTTGTCGTTTTTTTCCTTCTTGTTCTTCAAGTCCTTCAAATTGACGGTGGACTGAGAGCGAGAGTTGATCACACTGGATCTGACCAAGTCATCATCGCCCAACACACCAACGCCAAGCAACTGATCTGGGGTGTCCTGGGCTTTAATACGCCCGTTTTCCATCACCACGATCCATGCGGCCTGCTGGACGGTCAAGGCGACGTTGTGCGAGACCAAAACACAGGTTCTGTTCTCCATCAAGGGCCCGGTGATACAGTTCTCGTAGATCCACAAAGCGGTGTGAGAATCCACAGCACTCAAGCAGTCATCCAACAAGATCGTTCTCGAGCTCGAGTACAACGCCCTCGCGAGAGAGACTCTCTGCTTCTGGCCACCCGACAACGTGATACCCTTTTCACCAATCTCCGTTTCGTCACCCGCCTCGAGGATCTCAAAGTCGCGCGACAACCCACACGCATCAACAACAGCGTTATAGTGGGACTCTTCAAACGGAGCGTCAAAGGTGATGTTGTTTCTGATGGTGTCGTTGAGCAACCAAGCAGCCTGTGAACAATAAGCGACCGATTCGGTGAACCCGGTAACGGGGTCGGCAACGAGCTCATCTCTTGGCAAGACACCCGGGAGGAACACCTTACCGGAGGTCAATTCCATTTCACCAAGCATAGCCATCAACAAGGAAGTCTTACCGGAACCGGTAGGACCGATGATCACGTTCAATTTGCCCACCTTGAAGTCAATCGAGAGGTCACGCAACTTGAAGTCATTGGCCGAGTCGGAGTCCCAGGAAAAGTTGGCATTCTCGAAGCCAATCTCGGGGGAGTTAGGGCCCCTTTCGCAGAGCAACTGTTCGTACTTGTCAGTTTCAATCTCGTCGAGGAACTCACCCACACGGTCAAGAGACACCTTGGACTGAACGAGGAAGGAGACGACATCGGCAAGCTGGTCCAACGGGTTTCTCAACAAGTTGAACAAGGACAATGCGGTAAAGGCAATTGGGGCAGTGAGGGTTTCACCCGCAACAATGGTGTAGCAGTAGAAGGAGATAAAGGTCACCAAGGTTGGGGTGAGGAACCACGAGAAACCACCAATGGACCAAACAATCGATCTCCATTTCAAAAGGTACATCTCGTCGTGTCTGATGGCTTCAATCGCTTCCGCAAACTTGTGTTCCCAGGCAAAAAACTTGATTATACGAATGCTCTGGAGCGTTTCATTGATCTTCTGAATACGCTTATCGGTGATGGCCAACATGTCCTTTTGCAACTTGGAGACGGTGGAGGCAATCTTGTAGTTGACAGGAAGGAGGAAGATGATCCCAAAGGAGCCCACAAGGGCTGACCACCCAAGGAGGTTAAATAAGAAGTAGATAGAAAGCACAAGCATCAACACGGAACTAACAAAGTAGTGCAAGTAGCCACAGAATTCCGACACCTTGAAGGCATCGATCGACATCAAGTTGATGATCGCCCCGAGATCCGCACTGCCCTTCTTCTTTTCGTCCTTGTCTGTGACAGATTCGTCGGACGAATCACTAGCCTTTTCGTCCTCAGTCGTTTCGGCAGTGGTGACACGTCTCCTCAAAGCCTTGGCGTAGACTTCACCGATGATGACGGCTCTCATACGAACACAGACCCTTCTGCCGCAGAACAAAGACTGCCCCGAGGCCACGGAGTCGATGATTTTAACCGTTGGCATCAAGAACACAAAGAACCACGCAAGCAGGGCGGAGCTTTGCTCAGGCTTGTCAACGTACTCCAAGATCTTCTTCAACAACAAGGAAGGCATGAAGACGAGCACCGAGTCCACGACGGCCCAGAACGCCTGGACCGCAAACAACCACTTGAAGTGGGAAACCAACTTGAAGGTGAAGCCACGGGTGGTCTTGTAGGCCTCAAAGCTCTTTAAGATGTGCGCGGCGTAGTCATCTTCGCGCAAACCCCAGACGTCGTTCTTCACCAATGGCTCTTTGTAGGCCTTGCTAATCATGCTGTCCACCCAAGAGTAGGTGGAGAGAGAGAAAATGGAGGAGACGTTTTCCGGAGATGGCTTGATGTCCTTGTCGGTGACGTAGAGAATGGCCGGCCTATCGCCAACCTTGGCCGTGTAGTTCAAGAAAACGAGGACCGAGGAAATGGCAAACTCAGCGGTGTAGTAGTGGTACACGGTTGGGTTCTGGATGTGGATGTACGCGGATCTAAAGGCAAGGAACGCTGGCACCCAGTTCGTAAGGTACAAGGTGGTGGAGTGCACCCATAAATTTGGCAAGCCGCGGTTCCATGCGGTGATACGGACAGTGCAGAGGGTACACAAGTACACCCAGAAAGCGAGCTTGGCGTAGAGAATCGCGGTGGAGGGCCATTCTTGGCGCAATTCTTCAACAAAGAAGCAGGCGAGGGAAATACCCACCTGCAAGATAAGCAAGACTTCCTCGAGCACCACTCGGAGGCGGTCCATGGTGTCTCGGTATACAGGAACGGCTTCACCGTGCACCTTACCGTCAGCGCCGAGGCTGGAGATTCTGGCAATGTCAAAGTGGCGGGCCTTAATTTCCTCGATGGAATGGGCGTGGCTGATGGTACCGTACGAAGCAGAGGTGGCCAACAAGGGCTCGTTTTCGGACTCCGGTAAGGCAACGGACTTGGAGCGGGCGGAAAAGGCGGAAAGGAGGAGAAGGAAGAGGGAAATAGACCCGATAACGAGAGGAATCCCGGCGTCAAGGTAGTAGTGTCTCGCGCACACCGTCACATCATCAAAATACCAGAAGTCACAGTTCGGAACCGGGAGGGGCAACGAGTGGTTGGAGTACATGATGTAAGGCTAAACGTGAGAAATTGCGAGTGGCTGAGTGATACAGTAAGGGGTAGACGGGATATGGTATCACCTTTGAGTTGGAATGTAGTGAAGTGTAGGTAATCGAGCGATGGGCTATTATATAGAATACAGGTTACGATTAGGTTTTTTTTCCTGTTCAAACAATGTATTTGCCAATAAGTCACAAGCGAAGAGGAATAGAAACGGTACGGCAAGGAGCTTTGATATATGTCGCAAGCCCCAGGATAGCCCGCGTAAAATTTTCACACGCGTTACGTCTCTATCGCGTGTGTGAAATGCATGAGCCCCTCAAGGGAAGCGTAATCTTTCGCCAGTGGGGTTATCGTGAGGCAGTCCCGCTGAATTTTCCGTTTTTCGGTGAGTGCTGCATACAGATAGCGCCCTCCCAAAGAGTCACTTCCAGTGGAGGATTTTCCTCATTGGGCTTCTCGGCGCCGGAAACAGTGGTAATTGGCGCCGTGGTGGCAAACGGCTGTACGCGCTAATGACAAAGTTTAAACGCCACCAGATCTGCATCGACAGAGAAGTTAGTGGCGAAACAAGAATACGGTTTTTATGGTTGAATAATAGTTATGCCGATAATGCTGAGATCAGCAAGGTTTAGAAAGCTTGCAGAGACTTTGACTATTCTGATTGAGATATACTACCCTGCTTACGTGTAAGCCTCCCGTTGAAATCTGTAGTTCTCTTTTCCTCCCTTGTGGTACCTGTAACAACAAGACCGTTATAGATTATGAAGAATAGGTTATATTCTGTGTTAAATACACGAGCAATCAGCTAGAACCGTGAATCTTTATATACTGCTTGGGGGTCAGCACCTATCCGTCACTCTTACATGACTAGCAAGCGGGGTTCGCGGCACGATAAACGTGAAAAATTAACTCTTTAGCATGCCCGCCCTGCATTGATTGCCACCTTTAGGCAGGTTTCGCAATCTGAGAGAAACTGTGTGCAGCTTTACCGGCATATGCATGTGACAAACCCTCTGCTGGCATAGAGGAGCCTGAAACTACCTTATCTAGCTCTAAAGACACGGAGTATACGCCCACGCCCTGAGGTTTGACTAAAGATGACTCGTGGTGCAGAGGTGCTAAGACCTGGCCACATTTTTAGTAGAGCTTGCGAGCCAGGGTTATAGTGTAACAAGTGCGCTTATCCTTACATGGACAGTGATTATAGTGCCAGTATGCGGCTATGGCATGAGTGAGGAGTGGCGGGAAACTTAGATATAGCTTCAGTTAATGCCATATGGTGACAGAAGAGATAGAGCTGAGTGTACCTTTGCAATATACATTAGATCTGATCTCATAAGGTGGAGCTTTACCTAAACTTCTACATCGATTGCTTTACCATTTTCAAACTAATCCGGTTGATAGGTCTCCACTCAATACCCTACCAAGACAAGTTACTATAGCAGTTGTATTTTAAGGAGTAAAATATATAATAGTACCGCAAAATGCAAAGTGAAGGCGGAATAAGCGACATTCACCCCTATAACCACAGCCCAGTATCCGGCCTCACCGACGGAACATCCGTACCTAAGCGTCCGGAGTAAGATCAAACAAATCGTTCATTTCCTTGCCCAACGGATCGGAGAAATCGGTTGGTGGGTTTCCAACCGCCGCATCCTGACCCCCAGCCTTCTGGCCCATCTCCTGGTCCGCCTTGACCTTTTCGATGGCGGCCTTCTGCTTACCAGTATTCACCTTAGACTCTTCCTTCTCGGCCGCGGCATCAGCCTTTTGTTGAGCCTTCTTCTCCTCGAGCTTCTTCTGTTGGGTCTTCTCCTCAAGTCGCTTCTCTTCGGCCTCCTTTTCTTTCTGAGTCTCCGAGATATTTTGCTCGTCCTCTTCTTTCTGAGTTTCCTGGATTTTTTGTTCGTCATGGCTGTCTTTAATATTGTCGTTCGAAGGGTTGATCTCCTCCATGTCATCCTCCTTTTTCTTTTCCTCCTCTTTCTTTTCTTCCTCTCTCTGCTTTTCCTCCTTGTGTTCGTCTTCCTCCTTGTGTTCGTCTTCCGGCTTCTCTTGGGTTTCCTCATGCTCCTCAAGGTTTAACTCGGGGAATTCGTCAGTAAACTTGACAAACTTGAAGTTGTCACTTCTGCCGTCGTTGCCCACCGGGCTCAACGGGAAGTTGCCAAACACCGCCTCACCCTCGGTATCTCCATATCGGTTTGGAGACTGCTTAAACTTGTTCATGATGGCCATCTCAACCCTGTCGTAATCGCCCGAGTCGGGCGAATTAGCATAGATATTGATCATGTCGTTTCTGTCATCCATCTGCTTCAAGAACTCGTCCGACTCGGTCCAATCCACCTTGATCTTGCGCGTCTTGGACAAATCCGTATTCTTGAAAACGTTCAGCTTGAGTACATCCCAGTCCAGCTGGACCTCCGTGAACAAAGTCTTCCACGACTTGTCGTAGAACCTCTTGTTCTGGGCTTCCATGGCCAAGCGCTTCGCTTCGACCTCCATCCACTTCATGTGTTTTAAATCGGCGGACGATGGCTCGTAGATGTGCCAGACGGTGTAGTGCGGTAACCCGATCACCGACTTGCCCATAGTCTTGCACAACTTGCCGAACGCCTCGGTCTCGGCGTGCTTCTTGAACGAAAACGCGGGGAACATGCCGCCCTCCTTGAATACGGTAGCCTTAACGAGAATGGAGACTCCACCAATCCCGTCGAGCTCCATTTCCAACTCTGGATCCCCGTCAGGGTCGCGGAGATACGCCAAATGCGGTCTCCAGGTCGCATACTCCTTGTAGCCTTCGACAATCACGGCATCCTCGTCCAAGCGGCCGGCGAGCTCCACACCACCCTCACTTTCTTGCCACGAGTTCAAATCGTACGGCTGGTAGGAGCCGAGCCAGTCGGGCAACGGTCTCCAAACATTGGGCACGATCACATCCTTGTCGTGGTGCATCAAGTCTTCAAGAATGGTGCCGGGCACCACCTCCACGTCGATATCACGCCAGTAGACCCACGCATGGTCCGGGCGCAACGCAATGGTGAGCAACCAGTTGCGGGCAATCGCCATCAACTTACGGCGCGGGCCTTGGGCCGCGAAACCGTGTCGGTCAGAGAAGGTCTGCCCGACGACCTGTCCAAAGTCTCGCTCGTAGATGTTGATACGACCAAAGTGCAGGGACACATCCTCTGACGCCTGAATCAGGCGCAAATTCTGCTTCAAATCGGCGATGGTAGAGTCTGTGGTGTCAGACACCAAGAACGCCAAATCGATCAAGTTGTGCGGGTACGTGAGATTGCGGAGGGTCAGGAAGAACATGGGCAAGTGCGCGGACGCGTCACGCAACGGCACAAGGAAGAGCACCCGCTCTTCGTTTCGCCAGCCCTCAGCGGTAGGCAGGTAGTCCGCGAGATCGTAGAACTCAACGCCCAACCTCTCACTCTCCGCGGAGCCATGCCACTGCGCGGACGAGGGGAAGTCGGGGTAGTAGAGCCCGCTGGAAGTCGTGTAAATGTGGTAGTCGAGCGTTACAAGGAGGTAGTACGCAATCACGGTGAATGGTAGCACCGCATAAATGCACCAGATAATGTACAGGAACGTCGAGTCGGGCGACGTGTAGCCGCGCTTGGCGGCGAGTGGTAGTTGACCTTCCATTAGGCTGAATGGGCTTTTTCTGAGAGGGGCTGTCTGGTGGATCGGCGTTTGAGGGTAAAATGCGGCTGGACAGCTGACTGAAAAATGGGTCAAGCAAGGGCTAAAAGAAGCGGATCAAGCTATAGAATTTGACCAATACAAACAGTAAGGTGTGAGTAACCGGTAGGCTATCAAGTGAGACAGAGCAAATCGAGATTAGCAATGAGATCAGATGGGGGGCTCAAACTGAGTGTCCTTTGGATTAGATCGGATTAAAAGATAAAGGAAGGTGTCTTTGCTGAGCGTGGAATCAAAATGTGATGAATACGTTTAGCGCCGATCAGAAAGGTACGAGTTTTTTTTTCGTGTACGTAAAGCAGATTGCGTTTCAAGTTTGGGCGTGAAAGTCCCTGGTCGTGCAGTAGATTGGAAATGACGCGAGGTACGCCGCAGCATAGGCCAACGGACCGCCCCCGAATCGAGACGTTACAGAGAGACGGGGTGGTGGGACCTGAACTATTGTGAGGTACAACACTCAATCCTAACCAGACACTGAGTTTTGGATAAATCGATATTCCAGAGGAGAGTGGAAGGCTTAAGCAGTTTTCACGGTAAGGCTTTGGCTGGGAGAGAGCTCGCATGTAACAAAGGTATCCCAGACATCAGATAGTATATAATTGTATCTTATTCACGTATAAAGTATTGTTTGTAAGTACAATGTTGAGGGTGTTTCCTTCGCCAATTGGCATCCTTCTGGTAGATGTCTGCCTCACACCCGGTACATGTCCGCCTCCAGTCCATGATGGCACGCACAACCTCTATTGTACACCCCTTGAGAATTTCAAATACACATAAACAAAGACCCCAAAAACCCAAAAATTTACCGATTTACACATTTCTTTATAGTCTGCCATTCCTCTAGCTAGAAATTCACCTCCTGCATATACCACATGCCTTACGTAAGCAACAATTTTTCTACATGAACCGCATCTAAAAGCGGCTGTTTGATCTATCAAAACACTGTTCACAGAAAAGATTATTCAATGTTCTGTGCAAGTACGTACCCACCGTTTACAAATGGCCAACCAGACATCGTCTTGGACCTTACTAACATCACAGTTTCGGGTAACGTGGCTAGAGAGCCGGTGTTCTCGCCAAAGAGCGGCCGGATCTTCGAAAGATCCACCGTCGTTTCGTACATTCAGAAGTTCCACAAAGATCCGGTCACCAACGACGAATTGGCCGAGGAAGATTTGCTCCCAGTGGCGGCGGCCACAGCCCCAGCTATTTTACCCACCACAACCTCCATCCCGTCGCTTCTATCGGCCATGCAGACCGAATGGGACTCTGTCGCGTTGGAGATCTTTCTGTTGAAGAAGCAGGTCCAGAAGGCGCGCGAGGAGTTGTCTGTCGCTTTGTACCACCATGATGCCGCGGTGCGCGTGGCATCGAAGGCTCTCCAGGAGAGAGACGAGTACAAGAAGGCCTTACAGGAGTTGTCTGCCTCCGTCGGCAAAGGCGAGTCGTTGGACATTGCTATGGATGAGGGGAGCGCTCGATCTAATGCGGCACCATCTGTGACTCGTGTTCCTCCGTCTGTAGCAGAGCAAATTTCCAGTGCCGGAGACACGTTACTCGCGTTGCACCGGTCTCAGAAATCAAAGTCCACTGCTGCTGCTGTAACAGGCTTACACACATTACGTGATTCGGTCCATAAGGTTTCCATGAAGAAGGCCACGGCTTCGGCCCTTTCGAGCACCAACAGACTCCTTGTGGGCTCTTCGACCGGGACGTCGGTCGTAGTGGACCTTTCCAACCCAGACCACAACGACGAGAAGATAGCCTACACCAAAATGGGTCCCGTGACGGCTGCCGCCTGGGTTTCCACCACCCCTGTCCCCGGCGAAACCGCCGCCTTGACCCCGATCATTGCCCTTGGCTCTAAATTGATGCTTGGTGGCAATGCCAAGACTGCCACAGACATCAATCGGGGCGGATTGAACATTGTTGCGCTTGCGGTCCATCCATTATTGTCACACTTGTTTGTCGCGTTTACCGAGACGGGGGTCTGGGCTTTGCACGACACCACTGCCCAGCTCTTTCAATCCGCCCCTACGGACCACGTCTTGACGTCTGGTGCGATCCACCCCGACGGCGCCTTGATTGCCTCGGGGTTTGCGAATGGTGATATTATCGTTTACGAATTGGCCTCCGGAAACGTCGCGGGCACATTTCACGTCTCTGATGCGGCCGTCACTTCCGTTATGTTTGGTGTCAACGGGTACTCGTTGTTTGTGGGGACCGAGGCGTCCCAGGTGCACGTGATTGACTTGCGTAAGGGAACTACATCGGCAGTCATTGATACTGCGTGTGGGTCTATCCGCGGCATGACTACCGACCCGGCATGCCTGTTGTTGGTCACTTCTGGCGAGAGATCCACCGTGTTTCATAGGTATATCAAGAAGGGCAAGGAGTGGGTTGCAAACGCGGGTGTGTTAGAGGGGACCAAGGTTGCAGTCACGGATTTGTACTGGGAAACTGGTGCTCCACACATTGTGTGTGTCGGCTTGAGCGGACAGATCGTTGAGTGTGAGTTTCAGGCATAAGAGCGCGGCATCTATGCAGTGAAGAGCATTCCTAGAAACTTTAGAGTGGGGTGTAGATTATAATGGGTTTGACCAATATGTATATTAAAAAGTAAAGAATGATTAAGGGAATGAGAGTTGTGGTACGGGGCTGTATCTGATTTATAGTGTAGCGCTTATGTTATGTATGCACAAATATTGATTTAGAGGAATATCTGCGGATAAATATGTTGTATTATTGCAAATATGAATTGTTTCGGCCGTATATATTGAATAGGCTGGTATAAGCACAGTACTGATCAATGACTGATATCTCGGTATCCTGGTTAGCGTGGGATTACAAGTGTGGGCTGTTTGCTGACATTTCCAGAAACCCGGCAGCCGGACTAGCCCGGAACCTATCTGCATGTGGGATGCATATGCAGGTTTATATCCAACCAAAGCGCCCGTTGCGGTTGTAGCAGTTTCCTAATCCGTATTAACGTTCTAAGGAGCCACTCTGCAGTATCTATGGAGTCTTAAAGTTAAAAGAGGGGTTTGTCAGAGTAGCCCCAAGGTGGTTGTGGACCTATTAAGAACAGTAACCCGTCCAAGCCTAAACACCATTCAGTACCATTCCTAGACACCGCCATTCACAGACACCACCAATCCCAGACATCACCAATCCTAGATAGACCAGAGATCATTCCAAGATACCTCAAGGGGGCGTAAACTAAACCACAGAAATGCCAAGTTTCCTTCGCACAATCCGGAACATCCCAAACTCCTCCGTGGAGGTGAAACTTCTAAACGCCACAAGTAACGACGCATGGGGACCGATGAGCTCCCAGCTCGACGAACTCGCAAAACTCACGTACCACGCAGAGGCATTCCGGAGGGTTACGAAACATCTTGTCAAGACCTTGTCTGCAAAGACCAAGTACTGGCGATCGATCGCCAAGCTGCTCATGGTGACGCATTTCTGCCTCCAGACTGGCCTGGATGCATTTATCCAATGGGCTCGTGCCACAGTCTGTATATTTGTTGGTTTAAAACGATTCAATATGGAATCTTTTACCGGGGATGAACTAGAACAGGCGCAGCAGATCCAGGTCAAGGCCGCGAGTATTGTGCAGTTAGTGGAGAATCCGGAGAAACTTGAGCGTATGAGGGCCGGCTTCCACCAGCTCCGGTCAGAATTGGAAAAGCCCGGGGTATACAACCTGTCGAAAAAGGAGAAGGTTCTTCGGGCCGATACGTTTTTTATGGAGGAGCGATGTGAGGTGTTTGAAAGGAGCTCGAACACGATTCACGGTAGGAATAGTTTCTATCTGGAGATGAATATGAGCAAACAGAGCGGTAATTTTCCGCAGCCATGGGGGTTACACCCTGTGGAAGAAGTGAGTGAGGTGATTGTCTTGGATAGAGGGTCCCGGCCAACTCCCAGGTCAACTTCTGAGCTAATTCCCGTATGTGGCTATCAATAGCCTACACATCGTAGCAAGCATTATAAGAATAGAAATGGGATGTATCTAATACTCATACGGCAATTAATCGTGATAAGTATAAGCAGATCTTATACCCACCTATAAGAGAGAGAAGAAGACGGTGAGGCCGACAAGGCCCGACACCGAGTATGTGAGTTTTGCATCCTTCATGAATGCAGACGCAAGCGGAACGGCAAGATTGTTTGCACCGGCGTGCAGTGTAGAGGATGTCGAAGATGCGGATGATGTGGTCGTGATGGTTGTGGCGACAGATGTGGGTTCCACGGAAGCGGCCGAAGTTGTATGTAAGGAAGAGGGAGAAGAGGAAGAAGAGGAAGAGGGAGATGAGGAAGAGGAAGAGGAAGAAGAAGATGAAGAGGAAGAAGAAGAGGAAGAAGAAGAGGAAGAAGAAGAAGAATACGAGGAAGAATACGAGGAAGAATACGAGGAAGAAGAAGATGAGGAAGAAGACTCAATCGCGGATGACGTAGACAAAACTTTGGTGCTTGATGCAATGCTGAATGTGGAAGATGGAGTCGGGATGGCAGCCAAACCTTTGGACAAATCCTCAGCCAATCGGGTGGAGTACCACGGTAAGTTAGCCACCATACTGGAAACCATACTCAATGGGAAGTCTGAGCCCACCAAGGACGTATACGAGTCGTCGGTGGCTGTCTGTGCAACCAAGAACAATTCGAGTATTGTTTGTGGTAACGGCTGGACATTATTCTGTATATATGACATGTATTCCTGCTGGTGGCTCTCCACATCGGAGATCAACGCTGTGACGTAACCATTGGTGTTGATGTTCTCGGCCAAGGACGCGGTAGCGAAGGCGAGGAGACCCAAGATGGTATGCATAATGAGATATATATTTGGTGGGCTTCAAACCTGGGGTTAGAAATAGAAGAACGCATGGCGCTTATATATCTCCTCGAAATTAAAGATCCACCTCTTGGCGCTATTTTTAGGGTCGTTGTTGCTGAGACATTGACTGTATTTTGGCGGGGACATGCGTCAACTCCGTGCTGCAGCTGCGCTAATTTTTCCTCCACACATGAAAATTACGTCACAGTTCCAGCAAAAATTAACTCCGTCGTCAGGTAACCAGTGAACGATTTCTAAATATAGGCGATTCCAACTTCCTCAGAAATTTCCATGGATCATTTCCGCTACCAGGATGACTGTTCGTGTGTACTGGAATCGGTTCAATTTCCATTTGCATCTTATAGGCCACTCGTTTCGAAAAATTACATAAGGGCACCCAGTGCTGACACCATGTAAACCCCAATATTTATACCAGACCTTCGGACCCTGACCAAATGTTGTAGAACACTCAGATTTTTCATATGCACACAAGTGGCAGGACTTACACCTTAATTCAAGTAAATAGGAAATACTAGATAATAGTATGTCCTGGCGTTTTTTCTCCGGTCCCCCAATACATTGCTGACATACCGGCGGCTTCTTGTTTGCTCTGTTCCACTAACTGGCAAACACGGATGAAAGAGAGAGTTTACGACAGAATCTTCCACCGAAATAGACCACACTATATGCCGGTAACCATGCTAACTACGAACTCGTGTCATTCAAGTTTTTGAAATATGACGCCTGTTTTCAAAACTGCAAGTCTAGTGAATGTCAAAAATAGCGATCCAAGTTTCTGAGAGCTTTACCCCACAAAGTTCTGCTTCAGGGTGATTATTGAGCCTCATTAATAACTTTCCACCCTAGACGATTAACGTCTAATCTATTATGCAAATAAAAGTACACTACATACACCCCAAACGACTTCATCTACATCACTATTTAGAGTAAAATTCGATTTACGAGTCGGCAAATTATCTTAAAATAAGGATTAATATTCATTCAAACAATCATTATAGAAGTTAACCCTTTACATCAACAGGTTATAAAAAATAGACAAACCCTAATATAGCGGCAACTTCCAACCGATTCCCCTGGTTTTTTGACAGCGAGGATCTTAATGAGACGGAATTAGTAGGTCTGGTAGAACTGGAACCCTCCAGTGATCTAGCTTGGGAGTTTAAGTTGTTGCTGGTGAACGTAACAGTGTCTGAGACTGTTGCGGACGGGGTGGCCTCTACAACGGGTACCGCTGAGGCTTCTGGCGCAGCGGTAAAGTCCCCAGGCACTTTAAACTCAGTAATAGAGCCTTTTCCTAACAAAGAATTATACCACGGAAAGGCGGTGATGTATGTTCGAAACTGAGTGAATGGGAAAGCATCCAAAGCCTTGGTGAGGTCCGTTTGGCCCTGCTGGTCCACGATATACTGGATCAAGGTTTGCGGGTACTTCAAACCGTTGTCTTTCATGTAAGAGGTGTAACGGTCATTGTTAAAGTCAAAGTCAAGGAGGAAATATGAAATGAAGGAAGCGTCGTAGGCAACGGCTTGGGCAACTTCCTCCGGAGAGGCACTAGTTGTGATGGCAGCCATACCCGCGGTAGCCCAAATGGCCCAAAGGATTCCAATCTGTCTGCAGAGCATCTTTGTTGAATACGCATATTAATATTCTTTTCAGGCTGCTCACTTCTTTAAATAGCTAGGATTGAACGCCCTTTCAACCAGCTCTTAGAACGCGTGCATATGTATGTCTGATAAAGTTTCCCCTTTCGGCCCACAAAGGAAGACGAGCTGGACCTCAAAATGCACCAAAGGGGTTGTGTCTTAGCCATGCATGATAAACCTTTTCCATCAGTTTCTACGGCATGGAATACTAGATGCAAGCCTTATTCCTTGAACCTAATCTTCTCTATTACCGAATCCGGTTTCCCGCATATACAACCTGGTATAAACCAAATGAAAACGTAGCATTCACCTCCGCTATCTAATCGTTCTATATGTAAGTATGCATGATACACTATGCAAAACCTCCTTTCTTTCTCTTTTTCTTTTTACCACCCTGTGACGGCGGGTTGGCCCTCTGCGGAGCTACCTGGCTCTGCGAGGGAACAAATAATGGATTAGACTGGGAAAAGCCCGTGGTTGGAACCCCCTGCGAGATGTGCATTCTGGGAACCGGCGTGGCGCGGACTTGGGACGAAGAGCTTGTCCGCGGGGCCACCACTCGTCTCGAGGGCAAACTCTGAGACGACTGCAGCTTTTGGGAAACGTTGATCATTGGGGTGAAAGAGTTGGCGAATCTCTGGGAGAAACGCTCGTCCGTAAAGTCTTCCATCGGTTCTTCCTCGTAGCCCTCTTCGTCCCATTCCAGAATCAACTCCTTTAGCTTCAGGGGTAATCGGTCAATGCTCCGTTGTAGCGTCTCCTCCTCCGCCTGGGGAGGAATTTTATGTGTCACTGAAATAAGGCTCAATCCGAAGCTCTTGGTGATGGCAGAGACGCAGTGCGCAGTTTCCCGGCGGAGCTCGGGATCTGCGGATTCAGCAATGCACCATACTTGGCTTAGCTCCCGGTAGAGCTCGGTCATGGTGGAGACTCTTTGTTGGAGCATATCCGATGACACATTGTTACTCTCTGCTTCCGCGCCCGAGAACAAGTGCGCGTAGGTGGCAATGTCGGAAAACTCAAGCACGCTGGAGGCGTAGTGCTCCTTGAACTGATCTACCATCGACTGGAGTTCCTCGATATGGTTGATTTTCCTGGGAGGTTCCACGAGCTGTGAGAGAGAAACGGTCTGGCCCGGTGTGGTTTTCGCGGTCACCGCCAAACCCAAGCGGTATGCGTAGTCTTGAATCGCTTCCTCTGTCCCGGCATCTACGTCCGCAGAGTTATCGACGTAACTGTCCACATCGTCAAGGTTACCAAAGAGTGCTTGACTCTTCCTCCAGAGGCCGTTAACCGTCACACGGGGGAAATACCTTTTTGCGCTGGTCTGGACTACGGGCTCATCGGGAGTTGATTCTCTGCTATCCTGTCTTCGTTTAGAAGATACAACACTGAGCAGAGGCTCGGTGGAGTACATTGCAAGGGAAAGCTCCAACTCTGTGGACATGCTGAGAAGCGCAAAGACTTTGGTGCCCTCTCCATACGACTCTTTCCCCAGCTCCGACGATGTGTCCTCGGCTGGGAGCATCACTAGCGTTCTGGATGCGGTGTCGGAATCCCGGTTGAGGTAAAACGGATCTTGTATAGAAACAGGTAGCCCGTCTTGGAAGGAGAATTGGTACACAAACACTAGAGGGTGGGTCTGGGAGTATATTGTCACGAGAATATGCGAGGATACGTGGGTTTCGGGGATGCTGAGCCTCAAGGATGGGTCACTGCTGTCCAAATAGTGCTTCCACGACACTAACCGCTTGATCTGACCCTTTAGCAGCACAAATATGAGCTCCTGGGAGGTGAGAATAAACGCATGGCTATCGTTGTTCACACACCGCTTAAAGTCCATGATGGTGGACCATGTGTTGGCGGTGATGATTGTCGTGCGTTCCTGGGTTTTGATGCTGTAGTTGACCACCTCTGCTCTGCTCATTACAAACACCGAATTGAAGTCAAAGCTCCACATGATACGCTTCCAGCATGAGAGAACAGTGGTATCCTGAATGGACGTTCCGCTAAGCTCTACTCGCTGAAGCGTTTGGAAGTTCTTTTCCTTAATATTCCAGACCCCAAAGTTGCCCTTGACATCAATGACCCCAAACTGTGTGATATCCCACGGATTAAACGCGACGTCGGCAAAGTTTTCGCTCTCTAACTCAGCCGTGGTGAAGCTACCCACTAACTGTATCTCTAAATCACCCCGGGACCCTGTAAGCTTCAATATGTATATATCGCTCTCTGTACGGATAGCTAGGTACGGTGACGTGGTTTCCATGTGCACAGCCAACTTTGGGAATTGCACCTGCTTTATGGGCGTAGGGAGTTTGAGTGAATATGGCCGCGCTATCCGTGGAACGCGAATGGCCGCAGTGTTCTGTGAGCCGGTGACCACTTCGTTCCTGTGAACAATGACGGCGATGTGGGCGGTGGTGCCGGTCTCGTCACCGACATAGGCAATGGTTTGCTTGACTCTTGTGGGTGTCTTTACCACTCCTGTGTCGAAAAGTTGGCCTATGGACGGATCAAGAATGTACCGTGAGAGAAGGTTGTTGGATTCGTTCATGAGCGTTTTATAGAGGCCCTGCGGTACGTAGACCTCATTCTTTTGGGCATCAACCGTGCTCAAGTTTGTGGTTGTTGTTTCATTTTGGATGGCTTGCTTCTGTATTTGACTGGGGACAAGTGTTTTACGGGAATGCCCGATTTTGTGGAGGGTGATTCCGCCGTTACGCACGCGACTGAGCTTCCACAGGGCCTCATCTCCACCAGCGTTGGTTTCGGAAAGGTTGATGGCACTGCCTTCAAGTCCGTAGCTTAGCTGGACCCCGAGACCGGCTTTGCTCGGCCACATATCTATAGCGGTGGGTCTTTGTTCTCGGATCTGAGACTGGGATGGGCCGATTGTCTTGTAAGCGTGCCGCATACTGAAAAAAATTGAAAACTTTGTTTGCAGGAGGAGGCATGCATAATGCGGGCTCGAATTTTGAGTTGGAGGCTCAGGGATATGTGGGTGTTTCTGGGTAGTTTTTCAATCTCAGTAAGGGTTGATATTTCAATCGGCGATAGGAATTCAAGTTTACAGAGTAGACAGCTACGATTAATCCTAGCCTGAGGAAATGCATTGATTCGATCTATATGATTGTGGCGGTGCCAGTCAAAACGTTTTAGACAGCACCGTCGTATTGTTTACACTACAAAAGAGCATTCTTTTGATTACCGCGTTTTAATTTCCTAAGCTATACAGATGAAATCATTCTCAAGAAATAAACACTAGGAATCAGCGGCATAACAGATTAGCGGCATAATTTACAAACCCTTCAAGAGTTTAGTTTTGACCAAGCTCACTTTGTTCGCTCTTTGTTCGCTCTTTGTTCACTCAGTTGGTTGCCGGCCCAGCACCGCCACTGGCATCGAATCTCAAGTCCCAGCCAATTTCTGGCCCCAAACGTGGCAAGATCTCGGCGACATTCTGTACGTCCTTGTCACCCCTACCGGAAACATTGATAATCAAAGTCTGGTCCTTACGCATGGTCTTGGCGATCTGCACCGCCCCATAGACAGCATGCGACGATTCCAAGGCTGGGATGATGCCCTCCAACTGCGACAACAACTTGAAACCCTCCAAGGCGTTGGCATCAGTAGCAGCCATGAAGTCGGCTCTGCCGGTGGCCTTCCAGAACGCCAATTCCGGACCAACACCTGGATAGTCCAATCCGGCAGACACGGAGTGGGTATCGTGGACCTGGCCGTCGCTGTCCTGCAAGATGTAAGTCTTGACACCGTGGAGCACACCCGGCTTCCCGACGGTCAAGGTGGCGGAGTGGCGCTCGGTGTCCAACCCGTCACCACCGGCCTCCACCCCGACCAATCTCACAGACAAGTCCTTCTCAAACGGAGAGAACATCCCGGTGGAGTTAGAGCCACCACCGACACAGGCCATGACGCAGTCTGGCAACTTGCCAGTCTCCTTCAAGAACTGCTCCCTGGTCTCTTGGCCGATGACGGACTGGAAGGTACGCACAAGGATTGGGTATGGGTGAGGCCCAATGGCGGAACCAACTACGTAGTGGGTGGTGTCGAGGTGGGAAACCCAGACACGGAAAGCCTCTGAGGTGGCATCTCTGAGGGTTCTGGTGCCGTTGGTGACTGGCACCACAGAGGCGCCGAGCAACTTCATTCTGAACACGTTCAACGCCTGCCGACGCACGTCCTCTTCGCCCATAAACACGGTGCACTCGAGACCGAACTTGGCACAGGCGGTAGCAGTGGCCACACCGTGCTGACCAGCACCGGTTTCGGCGATAATCTTCTTCTTTCCGAGACGCTTGGCGAGTAAGACTTGAGCAAGCGCATTGTTGATCTTGTGGGAACCGGTGTGGTTGAGATCCTCACGCTTCAACCAGATCTGGGCACCGCCGCAGTACTCAGACAAACGCTCGGCCCGGTGGAGCGACGATGGACGGCCGATGTACTGGTACAAGCCGCGAAACTCAGCCCAGAAGGCCGGGTCAGCCACGGCAGCCTCAAACCCACGCTCAAGCTCGGACAAACACGAGTGGAGAGCCTCTGGGACGTACTGGCCACCGAAGTCACCGAAACGAGAGCTATAGGTGGAAATGACATCCTTCAACGGAGCGGTAGCTTCGCCTGGAACGTACTTCTCAGACGCCACTCTTCCCGGCTGCTGGCCGTCACCGAGAATGGATTTGACATAGGCCTCGGCGGTGGTGCCCCGGGTACCTGCGGCGGACTCGCCGAGGAGGGTAATAATGTTGGAGCCAATCACCACACCGTCGGCCGTAGCACCAAAGGTCAAGAAGTGTTCCCTGGTGGAGACCCCAAACCCGACGGCTAACGGAATGTCGCCGGTGACGCTTCTGATGCGCGCAAGGAGCTCTGGAATCGCGGTACTGATGGTCCCTGTGGCCCCGGTGGAGCCCATACGAGACACCACGTAGATAAAGGAGTCGGCAATGCCGGCGAGGGTTTGCAAACGCTCGTTGGTGGTGGACGGAGCGACAAGCGGGACGTACGAGAGCTGGTGCAGGGTGCAGTAGCCTCTGAACTTGACGGCCTCTTCAGGTGGAAGGTCGACGACAATAAATCCGTTGGCTCCGGCGGCTTTAGAGTCCTCTAATATACGCTGCTCTCCGTAGATGAGGATCGGGTTGTAGTAGCCCATGAGGATGATCGGCACGGTGACCCCGGCAGCACGGGCTTGCTTCACGAGGTCGAGACACTTGGTTACGTTGATTCCGTTGTTGAGAGCAACAACGTTGGCAACCTGAATGGTTGGACCGTCAGCAATAGGATCGGAGAACGGAATTCCGAGTTCGATGATGTCGACACCGCCGGCCTGCATCCCGAGAAGAATCGGCACGGTGTCTTCGATGGTAGGATACCCGGCGGTGATGAAGGTGACGAGGGCACTGCGGCCTTCGGCTTTGCACTTGGCGAATGTCTCGCGGAGAAGAGAGGACATGGTTGTTGATGGAGAAACAAACAGGAAAGAGAACTATGGTGGAAGTGATCATATTTATAAGATGCGAGTGTCACCGCGAAAATAAGAAATGTGAATGAGTCAGTTCAGGGTAACGGGGGCAAGGCAGGAGAGCGTGCAGGAGGGGGTACAGGAAAATGAGGGTGTGGGACGAGGAGCCAGAGCAGAAAGGGACTAACGCAATCGTCAGGGAACAGGCATTGTCCAAACTAATTTGGAGGAAGTGCTGGATTGACTCTGTTTGATTATTCAAAATGAAAATGAGTCAGTTTAGGGTAACGGAGGAGGGATGTACAGGATAGAAGCTTGGTAAGGTCTGAGGGGCCAGTAACTGGCATTTTTCATAGGCTAATTCCAATTGATCGACACAAGCTTAGAGCTGGGTAGGAGTTCCGGGAGCTTACTCTGGTATGCCCTCTTTGTAATGGAGACCAAGACTTCGAGGATGGTGGGCGCATTTCCCTACTGCAGATATCCGAGACTCGGCGCAGGATATGCAAATGGGTTCCATATCTGGGGATGCCAAGACGGGGAGAACACAAATCGGAAGGGGAAGGTACAAAAAGAATTGCAAGAGAGCTTGTAGATATAGATTGTAAGGGGTTAATATGTGGGGTGGTTGTTTATAAAGGATCGTATTTTCCGACGCTGTCAGGTAACTGGAGGCAGTGATATAACCATAGACCTGGAGCTCTGAATAGGGCCACCAAAAACTATCCAAACATTCATTTTGGGATAAAAGCCCCAGAAACCAAAAACTTCCTTAATTGCCCATAGTTTCGCATACAACCAAGACCCAATTCTGATCCATTTCCTTGACCATATCTGCGTCTAGGCTCAGACGTGTACAGATCTTCCTGCATATACGGCCCGGCAATGCTGACAGCAATTCGGAGATTTGTGATCCTCAGCGGCAAAGGAGCTGCGAATTGATGACGCTTTCCTCGTAATGGTTCTGGCTTGAGAGTTTATCCAAAGCCACCGTTTATTCTGAATTTCGTTTGAAACTATATCCAATTGTTCTACCCTTAAGAGTCAATTGAGATCAGATTGAAAAGTCATAGCCCCAAGCTCTAGGTAAAACTCCAATCCAACAGGCTTAACCCAATTCCACGCCCCTTGAACCTGTTATCTCCACACCCATTTATATTATCCTCAACCCTGAGACTAATTGGGCCAACTCATCTATACCGAGATTTATACCCAATTATCAGCTCCTCCAGCTCATTATACCCCCTTGAGTATACTCTTTCAACCGCAATCACGCCTACATGCTCGAATCAGTTGCCGCAACCTTGCTCAACCGGTTTATCGGCGCATACGTCGAAAACTTTGACCCGAAACAGCTAAACATTGGGATTTGGAGCGGGGACGTAAAGTTGCGCAATCTCCGCTTAAAGAAAGAATCACTTGACCGGTTCCAGTTGCCCGTGAATGTGACATTCGGCCACATCGGAGAGCTCACCCTTCAGATCCCGTGGTCCAACCTCAAGTCGAAACCTGTCAAGATCACCATCGAAGACGTGTATCTCTTGGCATCGCCCAGCGTGGAAGAGACATACGACCCAGAGGAGGCACTGCGCCGCGAGAACCTCGTGAAGCAAGACAAGCTTCGCGCGTTGGAGCTTGCAGAAACTGCTAAACCCAACTCAGACGCGCAGACTGAGAGTTTCACCGAGGGCTTGGTGACAAAGATCGTCGATAACGTTCAGATCACTATTAAGAACATTCATTTGCGCTACGAGGACAAGCACACGTTTACGGAAACGCCCTACGCCGTCGGGGTCACCCTCAACGAGCTTTCAGTATTGCTGACCGACACCACGTGGGTGCCGAGCTTCATCCTGATCACCCAGCAGCTTACGCACAAACTAATGATCTTGAAAGCACTCAGCTGCTACTGGAGCACGGACATGTCATCCATCCACACGGACGATCCCGAGGAGCTTCTCCGCACTTTCCAGGCGCTTGTGGAGCGCCAGAACGCCAGCGACGTGTCGCAGACGCAGTTCATCCTCCGCCCGGTGCTGGGTACAGGGCGCTTGACGATCAACAAGGCTGGAACTACCGAAAAACACCCCCACATCAAGGCCGAACTCTTCTTTGATGAGTTTGGCATCGACTTGGACGCGGACCAGTACCGCGATATGCTCTGGACGATGTCAAAATACAACTGGTACGCAAAAACGCTCAAGTTCCGCCAGTTCCGGCCGACCCTTGCGGTGGGCGACGCCCCGCGCGAGTGGTTTCGGTACGCGGCCAAGGCCGTATTGCACGAGATCCATGAGAAAAACTACAAGTGGAGCTGGGAATTCTTCCAGGCGCGCCGTGACCAGCGCATACAGTACATTGCGGTGTGGAAGTTGAAGCTCGCGACGGACCGGGACCCCAACTATGCGTTGTCCGAAGAGAAGACGGCGGAGCTCGTGGCGTTAGAGAGCCTGCTCGCATACGAGGACATTAAGTTCTACCGGTCATTGGCGAGGAGTCAGTTCCGCAAGGACGCAAAGGTGGATCTCCTGGGGACCGTTTCGTCTGCTTCATCCGCCTCTACGCAGACCCAGGGCTCTGGTTGGTTTTCTTGGTGGAGCAAACCCGAGACCAGCTCGGACCCTGATTCATTGCACATCACCGAGGAGCAGAGACAGGAGTTGTACGACGCCATCGACTACGACCAGGAAGCAATCATCGAGGCGGTTAGTATCCCGCGTGAGCGCGTCAAGGTTGAGCTTTTGGCCACGTTGAAGAAGGGAGGGATCCTAATTCGGCGGAAAAGGTTCGAGCCTAGCTTGGCTGAGGTGGTGTTTGAGGGATGCACCACCCAGCTTTACCAGCGTCCAGACTCGTTCCTTGCTAAATTCCAGTTGCAGGAGTTCCGGGTGGAGGACGGCACGGAAACCACGATGTACAAACACATTGTGAGCGTGAAGCCGATCCACACTCACGGTGACACCAATGACCCCCAGGACCCCTCGCCATTCTTCAAGGTGTCGTTCGAAAACAACCCGCTCGACGGGCTCTCTGACTCGGTGGTGCTCGCCAAGCTCCGCAGCATGACTGTATTCTACAACCCGGTGTTTGTGGAGGCGGTGGTGCGGTTCTTTACGCCGCCACGGATCCACATGGACACCATCGGGATGATCATGAACGCGGCCGAGCTGACGGTCGAGGGTCTCACGCAGCAGACACGGATCGGGTTAGAGTACGCGTTGGACGGCCACAAGACGCTCGATGCGAAGCTTGACCTTCAGGCGCCGTTGATCATCCTTCCACTCGAGCCCACGAGCTGGCAGTCACCCGTGGCCGTACTCGACGCGGGCCACATCAGTGTGATCAGCGACTTGGTCGAGCGGGCCAAGATCGATGACATCAAGGCCAAGGATGCGGGAGCGTACACCGCGGCTGACTGGACCCAGTTGAACGAACTCATGTATGACAAGTTCAACTTGCACCTCCAGGACGCACAGTTCCTTATTGGACCAAACATCAAGGACACCATCGACCAGTTACACGCGGAATCGGGCGTGAAACCGGCGCTAATCATGGACCGGCTTAACTTGAAGTTGTTGCTCGAGGTGTCGATCCTTCCGGAGGCATACACGTTGGCAAAAGTGCGTGTTGGTGGCGAAATTCCACGGTTCAAGGTGAGTTTGAGTGACTTCCAGTACAAGACGTTGATGCAGATTATTGATAAGTGTGTGCCGACGTTTGAGGAGGAAGATCTCCCCGTCGAGAACATTTTTACCACGTTCGGGGGACAAACGGCGTATCCGATCGAGCTGAGCGATAGTGAAGGGAGTACTAGCGACAGTGAGGAGAGCGCTAGCAACCGCGGTGCGCACGATCGCCAGGTGAGTAACCGCACGGCGCACGACAACGACGCCTCTCACGCACAACACCTCTTTGAATTCAACTTTAAAGTCGAATCCGTCTGCGTGTCTATGCTCCAAACCACCCCCACCGGCACCGTTCCCCTTGTCGATATCGTCGGGGACCACTTCCTGCTCGCGTTCGTCAAGACTGCACAGGCCATGACCGCAAAGGTGACGCTCACCGACATCAACGTGCTTGACCACGTAGGGGGTGTGGGCGAGTTCAAGCAGCTTCTCTCGTCGAACAGCTTTGCCACCGATCGCAAGCAGAACATCTTCACACTCGACTATGAGCGTGCACAGCGCATGGTGGAATTCAAGGGCCGCGAGATTGAGGTGTGGGACCAGGATATTGCGATGAACATTGCCACTGTCAGGCTTGTGGTGACGCGGACCTCCGTTTTGACCGTTATTAACTACTGCTTGGACACTTTCACAGACCCAAATCCGCCACCGGAACCGGCGGACGCGCTCCGCCACAACAGCGCAGACGTGGAGACATCACCGCAGAAAATTGTGCTCAACATGGCCCTCGAGAGCATTATTGTGGTGTTGAACGACGACGGTTTGAAGCTCGCGACGCTCCAGTTGTCGCGAGCGGACGTGCGCGTTTTCATGGTACCGGAATCAATGAAGGTGTACGCCAAACTTGGCGCGTTGACGGTGCACGACGAGCTCAACACCGGCTCACCGCGCGATTCACTCCTCCGCGAGCTCATCAGCATCGACGGCAGCGATCTTGCGGAACTCACGTACGAGACGCTCGACCCCGAGACGAACCCGCACGCGCACACGTCCACCCTTGTGTTCGAGGCCGGCTCGCTCCGCGTGAACTTTGTTGAGGAGCCGCTCTCCGCCATATACCGCTACATGGCGCAGTTCCAGAAGATGAAGGAGCTCTACGACGGTGCACGCGCAGCCGCGTTGAACCTCCCGCTCAAGCCCGAAGAGAAGATGTTGATGGATGTGCGTGTCCGCACGCCTATAATTGTGTTCCCCGTGGCGTCCCTCCAAGGGACCTATGACGATCTCACCGTGTATCTAGGCGAATTCTATGCGTCGAACGAGTTTGTGCGTGGGTCGAACGTGATCACCACCGGGATCAAAAACACGCGGTTGACATCGCTCTTCCACTTTGCGCTCGGCCAGCAGGCGCTCCAGGTGATTGAAAACCTTGATATTGCGTTCACGATTGACATTGCGGACGAGCAGAGTCTGACGCGCGCGAGCACGATCATTTCGGGTAAAATTCCTGACACGGAGTTGAAGTTGTCCGAGGTCCAACTTGCGTACATCATGAGACTTGCGAGGATCTTGCCGCAGGCGTTTTCCATTGATGAACCCCTGGAGAGTGGCGACGTGACGGAGGTGCCTCTTGTGGCTGTGGCCTCTACTCTGAAGGCTGCTCCGGCCCCGCCATCCCCCGCTCTCGACTTGCCTCAGGACCACGTCAGTATCGACCTCCGCTTCGCGATTTCCCGTCTCTCGCTAACGATTTACCACGAGACCAGAAACGTCTGCTCGGTGGCAGACCTCGGTCTCTCGCGCTTTGCGCTCAACGATACGGGCGTGGTGTTTGTCCAGCGCGCGAACGGCCACTTCAAGGCGGACCTCCACGTGCGTTCGTTCACCGTTGAGGATGTACGCTTGTGTGGCGATAACAAGTTCACCGAGATCATCCCGCCGATCAGTCATGACACGTACCAGTTCATGGCCGCGATCCACACCGAGGGAGCGGCCATGGCGACTGTCGTTTCATTGTCCATTGACAGCCCCAAGGTGATTGTCGCGCTCGACTACATATTTGCGTTGAAGGCGTTCGCGGATGCTGCGTTCGGCGAAGACGAGTGGAAAATTGAGGACGAAACCAAAGACGTTGCGAAAACCACTCCAGCAGCATCGGCTCCGGTCTACTTTACCGTCAATGTTGTGGACGCGTTTGTGGTGTTGTTGGCAGACCCCAGCACCGCTCGCTCCGAGGCCATCGTGTTCAAGCTCGAGAAGTTGCTTGTCTCGTCTCAGCACGTCACCTCCGTCGTGGCAAAGAACGTGGGCATGTTCTTGTGCCACATGGACAGGTTTGAGGAGCGGCTCCGGCTCATCGACGACTTCGGCGCCAACCTCACCATCGACGCTCGTGGTTCATCGTCCACGAGCCTCCTCCAAACGGTCACCGCCGCGGTTGAGCCCGTGGTGATGCGCTTATCGCTCCGTGACATCCGGCTAGCGTTGAAGGTCTTCCAGCGTGCCACTGAGCTCTACGAGCAGCTGGTCGGCCAGCCTATGGAAGAGCCGGAAGAAGAGATCTACACCACGTTCACTAAGGAATTTCGCAAGAAGCTCTCGAAATACGCGCCAACGATCGTGTCACACCTTTCGCACGCACTGGTATCTGGGGAGACTACGGTGATTGTGCGCGGGGAAGAGCTCCTGGCAAGCTTTGCAGGCCTTCGTTTGGTTGTGATTGGTGACGTACACGAGTTGCCGGTGCTCGATATGAACGTCAAGCCGTTCGACGTGGCCGTACGCAATTGGTCAACCAACTTGCAGGCCGACACGAAGGTAGTGTCGTACGTGAACATCTACAACTACGCACGCTCGTGCTGGGAGCCGTTGGTAGAGCCGTGGCCCCTCACGGTGCACGCTGCGCGTGAGCGTGGCACGCTCGCGGTGGACCTCGTGTCGCGCGAGTTGGTGGAAATGTCGATGACTTCGCGGTCGATTGCATTACTCGCGCAGATCCAGGCGCTTATCGCGCAGGATGTTGAGTTGAAGCCACGTGGCGAGGACATGCCGTACGAGATCCTCAACCAGACCGGGTACGACGTGAAGGTATGGGTGGATGGAGCCACCACCCAGACATTAATCCGCGACGGGGAGGAGATTCCGTGGCAGTTTGAGGACTGGGAGAAGGTCCGGGAGAACTTGAGCGTGGACACCCATGACGTGCTCGCGGTTCAGTTGGTCGGGTCCATGTACGCCCCAGTATCCGGGATCTCGGTCGTGGGTGAGGGCGAGGAGCTCTTTGTGTTGAGTCCACCTGTGGATGGGGTGCACGACCGGCTTGCCTGCGAGGTGATTTTGGGGCCGGATAAGGTGAAGAGTGTGGTGTTACGGTCGACTATCACCGTCAGGAATGATACCAATGTGGCGCTTATCATCGGGATGGGATTGGAAAAGGCCACGGCGGGAGAACTGGCCGGCTTGCGCGCGCTTCGGGAGTTCACCATCCAGCCTGGTGCCTTCCGCGCGGTCCCAATTGACTCCGCGTACCGCGAGCCGATTGCGGTTCGTCCATCCATCGATTCCTTTCACTGGTCGGAAAACCGCATCTTCTGGGAGCACCTCCTTGCGGGTCCGGTGTCGTTGAAGTGCCCTAGTGCGCGTACGGATGACCGCACGTGTTTCTATTTCCAGTCATCCGCGCAGTACGACGAGGTCGAGCCCTTGGCGAGGCTCTACCCGCACATGACGGTGGTGATCTCGGCGCCGCTCGAGATTGAAAACCTTTTGCCGTTCGACCTAGCGTACCGCTTATACGACAAGAACTCCAAGAAGGACTGGAAAAATACGCTCACAAAGGGAACCAGCAGCCACGTGCACGTGGTACGATTGGAGCACTTCTTGTTGCTCAGCGTGCGGCCGTTGGGTAGTGGGTATGACAACTCGGAGTTTGCAATTGTCAACTCACCCGCGGGGAGCGAGTTCCGCCCGGAGCGCGTGTTAACCGTGAGGCACGAGAGCGGCCAGAAGGTACACTTACGGATTCATTACGCAAAGAAGGTGCGCGGAACAGGGATGAAGCTTGTGGTGTATTCGCCGTACGTCGTGCTTAACCGTACGGGTGAAAATTTGGTGTTGGCGGAGAGGGCAAATCAGATGATATCAAAGGTCGAGCCGGGGCTGAGGGTAACGGAGAGGAGTTCAGAGAGGAGTTTGGAGCTAGGAGCTGTATCCGACCCAAAGACTGGAGATAAACACGAGACAGAAGCCTATGGTTCCGGTGTCCAGTTTGTGGCTGCACCTACGCTCTTTTCCTTTGATCAAGCTGAAAGGAAGTGCCGCGCGACTCTCCGTTTCGATGATTCAGTGTGGAGCGGGCCTATCTCCCTTGATGCTATTGGCCAGGCCACCTCGGTAACTATCCCGCTCGTCAACAAGCTCGCCGAGCGCAACGTGGGTATCACTGTCGTGGAGGGCGAGGGAAAGTACCAGCTCTCCAAAGTGGTCACCATCGCACCGCGCTACGTCTTTAAGAACAACACCGGCAGCACGGTCCGACTTTTGGAAACGGGTCAGTCCAAGCCCGTGGAGGTGCTAGACGCCGCGGTACTTCCACTCTACCGTCTTCGCCGAACTAGTGACAAGAGCTTGATGATGAGCTTCACGGGGGCGGAGGCACAGTGGTCAGCGCCATTTGGCATTAACGACGTTGGCCAGATCTTCCTCAAGGTGTTGCGTCCCGGTTCCGGACATGTGCTCTTGAAGATCAGCGTGCTCCTTGAGGACGCAACGTTGTTTGTGCAGGTGGACGATGCGGGCAGTCGCTGGCCGTTCTCGGTGCGTAACTTCTCCAACACCGAGTTTATCTTCTTCCAGAGCAACCCGAATATCGACGAGAACGACGAGGTTGTGCGCAGGGATTATCCGTTCAAACCGATATACTACAAGATCCCGCCAAAGAGCGTGATGCCGTACGCGTGGGACTATCCCGCGGGAGTGGTGAAGGAGTTGGTCTTGCGGTCGCACGGGAGAGAGCGGCACGTGCTGTTGGTGGAGATTGGTGCGTCGAAGCCGATGGTTTTGCCGGCGGTTGGCGAGTTGGAGAGTGCCACAGTGGATTTGAACGTGGTGGCGGACGGGCCAGTGCAGGCGTTGGTCATTAGTGAGTACGATCCAGAGCAGAGTATGTTTAAGGCCCGCGGAGGAGACGAACCGGGCGAAGCCCGAAGAGCGTCAGGGGAATCTCAGAGGACCTCCGAGACCGGCGAAGCCTCTTACGAAGCGGTCGAAAAAGACGAACGCTACTTCACCAAGTGCATTGTCCGCCTCGAGGGTCTCGGGATCTCACTTATGAACACCAAACTCCAGGAGCTCTGCTACGTAACCTTCCGTGGGCTTGAGCTTCGCTACAACGAGCTGGAGCTCTACCAGACCCTCAGCATGAAACTCAAGTGGATTCAGGTGGACAACCAGTTGTACGGCGGGGTATACCCGATCGTGGTTTATCCACTGGTTCTCCCGAACTCTGTCAAGGAGATGAACAACCACCCCACCTTGTCGTGGTCTATTTCGCGTGTGAAGGACGACTCGCACGGGGTCGTGTACATCAAGTACGCGACAATCCTTCTCCAGGAGATGACGGTTGAACTCGATGAGGACTTCCTCTTTGCGTTGATTGACTTTGCAAAGCTTCCAGGCATCTCTGAGGCGCCGCGCGACCACCTCTGTGATTCGCGCGTGGCGATCCCGCTCCCCCAGCCAGTGGATCTTGACAGTGACTTGTACTTCGAGGGCCTCCACCTCCAGCCAACACAGTTGAACCTTTCGTTCGTGCGCACGGAACGAATGAATGCGGATGACCGTGCGGACTCTGGCAACGCGCTCATGTTCTTCTTCAATATGTTGACCATGGCGATCGGCAACATCAACGACGCGCCTATCAAGCTCAACGCGTTGTTACTCACGAATGTGCGCGTACCGCTTCCATTGCTCGTGCACTCGGTGCTGACCCACTATGGCCAGGACTTTATCTACCAGATCCACAAGGTGCTAGGGTCTGCAGACTTCCTCGGTAACCCTGTGGGCCTCTTCAACAACCTCTCCTCCGGGGTGCTCGACATCTTCTACGAGCCGTACCAGGGACTTATCATGAACGACCGCCCGCAGGAACTCGGTATAGGGCTCGCAAAGGGGGGGCTCAGCTTCATGAAGAAGTCGGTGTTTGGGTTTTCCGACAGTTTTGCGAAAGTATCGGGCTCCGTTGCGAAGGGCTTGACGGTGGCCACGTTGGACCGAACCTTCCAGGAGCAGCGGCGCTTGAACCAGCGGAGGAACAAGCCGAAACACGCGTTGAGCGGATTCACTTATGGCGCTACGTCGCTTTTTGATGGGCTTGCCAGCGGGATCACCGGCATCGCACTGGCGCCGATCGAAGGGGCGACCAAAGAAGGCGCCTTTGGATTCTTGAAAGGCATTGGAAAGGGCATCGTGGGGCTTCCGACCAAGACTGCCATCGGCTTCTTTGACATGGCATCGAACGTGTCGGAGGGCATCAGAAACACCACGACCGTGTTTGACGACGAGGGGTTGGACAGGGTGAGATTACCAAGACATGTGGGTCATGACGGGATTGTCCGTCCGTACTCGCCACGGGAGGCCCAGGGCCAGTACTGGCTCAAGACTTGTAACGGCGGCGAGTTCTTTGGTGACGAGTACCTCGCGCACATTGTGCTTGCGGGCGAGCAGTTGGCTGTACTCGTGACGTTCACTCACATCTTGCTTGTGCTGGTGGGGACGCTAGATACCCGCTGGGTCATTACGTATGACAAGATCAAGTCAATTTCGCTTGAGACCACGGGGGTTAAGGTGGGCTTGAAGGGGAACAAAGCAGGACCGTTCATCCCGCTTGCGGATGCCGCCAGTCGGAAATTTTTGTATACCAAGATTGGCGTGGCGGTACGGGAGTATAACAAGAAGTGTGACGTGGTGGTGTAATGCGAAGCATGAGCTACCGCATGTTCATAGGTATACATTCGAATCTAGAAAGGTATTTGTTTAAATCGTGTAGAAGTGGGCGTGAAATAGCTGGAGCAGACCAAGGCTTCACATAGCCAGGCGGTAATTCTAGTTTAAACTTTAATGCTTGTACAAATATTCTTTCCGTGGTGGCACGTGTTATCGGCCACCGGAACCTTGTTTAGACTACGCATACTTCCAACTCTTTACCTAATCTACTCTTTCAGCCAGCTTCGCACGGAGGATTCACTCCTCACTGAGGAAAACATGTCTTGAATCGCCCGTTTTTTTCCTGAGGCCGCTCACAAAGCTCGCTGCGCTCTCTTCGCGATACGTTTGGAGCGTGAGGGTCTCTGCGGACACATACCCATCGCGTGCCTTGATTACCAAACGGCTACCCTCCAATATAAACTCACCTACTTGGGAGAGAGAAAACTCACGTGATTCGACTTTCACGCCTTTCAAAGTCACTCGCTTTACCTCGGAGGTCATCTCCCTCGTCTTTTTATCGAGCTTGCAGCACTCTTTGTAGGTGTATAGCGGTCCTAAGGTGTTGTAATATCTCGCAATTTCCCTGGCAGACATGACTTCCCACCGGATCCGTGCGCGGCCCTTGTCAATCTTGCTGGTGTACGAGTAAGGGAGCAAACCCGTGATCGGTTTGGGGTCAATATAGAGACTCTCCCGCACCACCGTAGCAAGAAGCTGGCCGCCCACCATTGCGAGTCGGTCACACAAGCTGTCATACGTCTCATTTTCAGAGATGGCGAGCTCTGGGGACTGGAGGAGGATCTCACCCGCGTCGAACCTTGTCGGATGTAGGTTCTGAACCGTCACACCAGTGCTGGGATCCATGTTTAAAAGTGCATACTGCAAAGGGGATGCCCCGGAGTATGCCGGCAAGAGTGATGGGTGGACGTTTAACCCGCCAAACGGTAGTGCCTGGAGAAACCGTGCGGGGATGAGCTTTCCATAGGACACGGCAATCGCTAGGGAGTAGTTTTCGGTGACCAAAGCGTTAATCTCTGCGCTGGTGTCGGCTCGGAGAAGTCGTAAGTTGTATTCTTCCGCCACTTGTGTGATAGGAACTACTCTGTTAGTACCGTCATTTATACCCATGGAAATACCGTTAAGCTATAGCCTTAACGAGGGGCTCTCCATCAATGGGTTGCATGCTATCGCGTACATACCGTCTCTGAGCTGTTTTAGGCCTCTGCCGAATGGCTTCGGGCGTCGCGTGATAACATCTATCACGTCTATCAATCCTGGCAGGGTTTCTTTGAGTTTCACCATGTGGCGTAACGATTCGATGCTGAACTTGTCCGATCCGAAGAACGCAATTCGGAGGGCGGATGAGTGCCTTACAAACAGGTAAAGTCGGGATCTTGGTTGTCTGCAAGTGAAAAGCATCCTTGATTGGGGGCGCCCTGAAGATTTACGGAAGATCAGGGAAGCCTACCCGCCGTCTCAATCGCTATATAGGAAAAGTGACGTATGCCATATGGGTGTGCGTTTACCACTAGTCGCGTGACCAGATTTACGTTTCCTTCGAATGCGGGAATTGGGTGACTTTGAACTGTATTTGTGCCAGAAGACTTCCGTTTGGAGGTCCAAGTTCTATACGTAAAATGGAGCTGAACATTGAGACCGAAAGATCCAGTGACGCGTCAATGAAAGTTCCTTGGCATAGCTTACCGAGCTTAGACGGATAAGCGTTCCGCCGGAATGCTTCTAGTTTCGGGCGACTGGCATTATCAGGCGACTGTGCATATGCATGCGTATGCATGCACAGATCGATGGAACTGCACTATACATGTACCTAGTTCCTGGGACATTCTTAGATATTTGGTACCTTCAACAGGAAGTACTGCGCTTTGATTTATTCTTCCGTAGCTCTAAGTTTCTACAGGTCTCACATATGAAATACCGTACTTCAATTGTGAGTAATATTCTCTTTCGTATTCAGCGTCAAAGTGAGTAAATCGCCGTAGTACCAAATGCCCTTTTTCCAGGATAGTTATTCATGCCGTTGTCGGCCAACTATGTTGAATACTCATCGTGTGGTTGTAAGCCCGCTTAAGAAAATAAGTGGTTGAAGTTTATTCCTCTCACAAATACTGCACTGTACGGGCGCGGCTGCAAAGTGCCAATTATACCGTATCCGGTTACGCCTAATTGGTACTCTTGTGGCCCTCGTTAGCCCAATCTCTGACCCTTGTATATCATTTGAGTTTGGATATGAGGGAGGCTCTACCCACTGCCCGCCTTAATCATGAAGGCGAGCCTGTTGTAACGGGCGGTTGCGGTCATATGGGACGTTAATTATTAGTCAGCGAGAGGCCGTTGACCGTTATTCTGAGAGAAACAATGCGGAGGACAAATTAGGTTTTTATTTGGATGCATACCCGACAAGATATTTACATTAGCGGTGTAATAGAAACATAACGCATGTGACTGGAATAATGAATATGGCATGGAACTAGTCCAGTACCTGACCGGTACTCCTATTCATGAATATTCAATTAACTCAAGAAATCTGGCCTCTGCATCTCGAATTATTTCCAGTCCCAGCCTTTAGCAAATCGTATTGGAAATGGTGCTGTAAAGCTACGGGAGAATATTGGAACATTGAATTATAGTGTCATCAAGTGCAAGGATACGTAAGCCACTTGTCCCATCATACGTCATTGAATACCGAGGGCTGGTTCACCAATCGCCGTTCAGTGAATGTCATCTCATTAAACGTAGTCCAGGGGCTTAGCGTAGTGATGTCAGCTCAACTACATATTTTTTTCTCGAGCTAGAACATTACCGAGTTCTCCCTGCTCTCGTTCCGCCAACTAGGAAAGCTTAAAACAGGGCAAACCTGAGAGCATGTGATTGTGTGGTCCAAACCGGAAATTCCCATTCCACGAGATGCAGACTCTCGCGTTAATAATTACTAGCTCTTTTCCACAAAAGCTTTGATAAGGGTATGGGTCCATTCAGGTAGATTAAGCTTCAGAGATAAATTTCACCTGCAGGCGGATCTAAGAATGATTTATGCGCTCCAGAGTATCTATTACAAAGATATGGAGGACCTCAAAAAACATGACATGTAAAGAGGCGACTTATGTAAGACAGCACTAGCTTCCACTATAATTAAAATAGAATTGTTGTGTTTTAGGGGACTTCTCAATGCGCCTGTGTTACGACTTGTGCCATACTATTGACGCTGGTATCTTGTCACTGCTTAATCTATAAACAGGAGTACCCCGTTGGTCCAGGGTACCAATCTTTTTCTGCCAGGAAGCTACTAGTATTGCTTATCACAATATAGGCGTTTCCACCTCCTTAAACAACGACAATAACATGACCTCACTCAACCAACAGAACAGGGGTAATGCCAGGGTATAATGACTTTACCTCGAGATGTTTATCTGGCCGCCGTTGCCGCTTCGCCAAATTCTTAGACCTTGACTAACGTACAGTGTATTGCTGTGCTCCAAAATCCGCCTTACCCTTTTACCATACGGGAGTGTACGCTAGGAACGGTACAAACTGCTGAATTTGGTGCGAGCTATCGGAACCTTGGACAATGGTACTACGTCTTCTGTGGATGCGGCACAGGGAGAACGAGCCGATACATTAGCATACATAGTGCAGATTTTATCACGCCTCTAATCGGCGGTAGTCAATGTTTGAATCTTAAACGGCTAGCAAGCTCTCAGAATCGGCTGGTTGCATATCGCCCTGCCTGATTCGCAGAAGGCTGTAGCCTGCGCATGCGTCCCGAATATAGGGTGCATTGGGCCGGTGATGGTGCATAAAATCATGTTCCAGCATAGCTAGCACGCGTCTGAGGGCCCTTTCCTTTGTTTTAGGATTCTCCTCACACTATATGTGAAGCCCTTCTAATGTACTTCCATGTAGAGGTACAGGAACATGCCATCCTGGGGATTTAGGGTTTTCCGTTGGAATTCCGACATGGGTTATTTGTGCGCAACGGATCCAGACACACTCTTCTTGGCATCGGTATACGTGCTTTTGCATTGTTTCTGTCCCATAACAGAGGGCATCCGATACCTGAAGGGCCAGAGCTAGCAATGTTACAAGTCGCCTGACTTTAACCCCATGCATAGAAGGCGCTACATTACATAATTTTAGGCCTGTACAGACTGGACCTTAGTATGGAACACAAAGGCCTCTCCCTCTCTCTTCCCTAGTCGATACCCTCTTCAGCATGAAGTTAAAATAAGTCTGAATAGTTTATAGTGGAGTATATATAAGCATGCCCATAGAACCTCAAACATATCACTATACCATCTATTGGTCTTCATCACTCGCTGAGTCGTTTACAGAATTGATTTGTCACCCACAATATCATTTGCTATCTTCCTACAGGACTCAATTGAGATACGTCTACACACCCGCCATAAAACTACCCTCGTCCATTAATGAATCTAATGTACATTTCCCCTGGGATACGTCTTAAGGATGACCTCCGCTATACTGGTATGGAAATTATTCCATATGGGTTTAGCATTCCGCGCCTGGATACTGGCTTTTACAAAAACCCTTCCCATATTTTAGGTGATATCATGTCCTTTGGTCAACTAACCGGAGAGCTTCAACTGCCTTATTTTATCCCTCATTCGAAACACAATGAGCCCAACTCATACATTCAAACGATTCCATCACTTCCCTTTGAATATGGCAATGACTCTGAAAGCCCCGACTTGACTGGCTCTGCCATTTCCTTGGTCTCCACTCCGTGTTTGTCGTATAGTGATGATGGATGGGATGAAGGCCTGGCATCTTCCACACACACTGTCCCTTGCGTCCAAGAGTATTCAACGATAGCGAGTGAATGCCAATATCCGGCGTTATTCACTATGCCGAACGTTGACCAAGAATTGTTCCAGTATTTGGAGTTGATGTCAGCAAACAACATGAACTCTTCCATGTTTCTTGTGACCACCTCCCAGGGGTTTAAGGAATCTTTCAAAGAGAATAAGGTCTCAGAAACTGTGACAGATGAAAAAATATCAAAGACTGCTGTTCATGAGCTGTCATCGGTATGCCTGTCTGAACGGGACTCCTATTCAGTTTCAAATGAGATAAATATGGCTGGTTCTGGGGGAGCCTTGATCTCTGAGCCACAGTCTAAGTTAAGATGTCCATTATTCAATGGAAAATCGTTCTCGAGTGACGGAGGGGGCAAATCAGATTCCCAATACTCTTCCTGTTGTCCCCCCGAGCCAACTAAGTCAGCCCTCATCCACCACAAAGGCAAGCTTCCGGAGGTTGGCTCCAAAGCTGACGTGCTTTCGCCCATCCGTATTGACCAGTATCCGGCGTCAAAAATTGTTAAAAATAAAAAAACGAGAGGCCGGTTTGCTACCGTATATCATAATCCCCTGGTTACAGAAGATACCGAAGAGTCGAAGTACCGAAAGCACAAGTGCAAGATTTGTGGGGGGAGGTTTCGCCGCCGGGAGAATTTGAAGAGACATTTCATAAGTGTCCATACGGAGGAAAGACCCTACGTTTGCCAGCTCTGTGATAGGGGGTTCGCTCGACCAGATAACTTGTTGGATCATATGAAAACCCACAAAACTTTGGATTCACACTAACATGGTGTATCTTTTTTTGGCGAGTGGGTCTAGCTCAGGCCCTTAAAGACCGCGATGTTGAATGAAATGTTGAGCATACTATGGTATGTTTCACTTCTGTTGGTCAGAGGCTTAATGTGAAGCAGAGAGTTACTGTAAATGCCTTATGAGTAAGTCTCTATCAAAAACTGGCACTAAGTGTTACCCAGAATATTTCTGTATCTAACCTTCAATGTTTATCGGGCCACAGTGTAATAATTTCTATATATTCCGCCTCGTTTGATAACGGTATGACATGTATACCTTTAGGCGTTGTTTATTTAACGTAGTATCCTTACTAGACTCCACCTCACTGTAATTCCGATTATCAACTAATGGATGACTTTTTGCTAGCATACCTTGATTTATTGAGAGACAAAATATATGTTGAACCAGATCTCAAGATCAATTACATGTATTTTTTGTTTCAATATCTATATCATACCTCAACTTTTCTATGGTGCTTGATACTGTCGGGCTGTGGTAATAAATCAAACGCCTGGTATACCAAAAACAGCCATATTAGGATTAAAGCGATAAACCTACAGTAAATAGCATGCATCAAACTTGAAACAGCAACACAATGGAAGAATGTGACACTTACCTACGTGCAGCCTTGGCTTCGGGCCCAAGAGAGCCTGGAGACGGCTAGTGCTTCCGTGTTCACGCCTATACTTGGGCTTGCGTAGCCAAGCATTCTTGTGACAAAACAGTAAGCTTGTTTAACGCAAAGAGGAATAACTTCTGTGACCTTGGAATCCAGGGATTATCAGGAGTTAACAAAACGCCCCGTCCTCCACCACGGTCTTAGTCCAAACACATGGTCTGGTTATAGCGAGTAGCATAGATTCCACAATACATAAGCGCCTCAAATCGTACATGCGCACACCGCGTATCCAAAGGTTTATATCGAAGACACGGTTCCGTATGGATATTCTCTCGCATTACGTCCAATCTATGCGCAAATCAAACGCAGGTTCGTCGTGGGGGAGACAGACGGGAACGAATTTAATTGAAAGGGACATATTGAAAAGTTCCTCTGAATTGGGCTAAAAGGATAGTTGTCGAGTAGTCAACCCAAGGGATACGACTCTGAGGCGATTTATGTACAACAAGACCAAATCCAGGCATTTCCCCATCGATTCATATATATATATATATATATATATTGCAATTTGGACCGCCAATCTCCCGCTAAAGCAATTAAAATCGATATGGAACACAAACTCTGGAAACCGTAGCCCGTAATTGAGACTTTGAATTAAATTGCTTTTTTAAGTGAAGTAAGAGTCTATTCGAGTTTACGGTATTGCAACGGATTCATCCCAAAACCGGCCAAAGCAAGCTCTCCGGTTATATTTCGGGCAAACTGCTACGAGAGAGTATCAGTGGCGCTAAACCTTAAACTGGACTTTCTTTTGGGTGCTAGTCTATGCAACCACCTTTGGAGCATTGTTTGCTGAAAGGTGTACATCGAGGGAATAGCTCCCGTAACACTTATGCGGCATACTTTACGTGCTATGCAACTGATACCTCTCCCTTGCCATATGAAACAATATACCAGGTGACCCCGGTTGATGCAAATCGCCGAAAAAGAATGCCAAGAAGCATCGCCGATCTTAAGGATCACCCTATAAGAGACAGAAAAAACTTTCAGTGTTTTTCAAGATTCGGCATCGAGATTCGCGAGACATCTTCCTTGCTTGCCAATACATTCTGATGTCTAACGATACGACAATTTGGATCAGTGTACATCGCTACCCATGGACTAGCCCTCTAGTAGATTTTTTATCTCTTTTTTCTGCGTCATAGCAAATAGTATCCCTTCTTAAACCGTAAATGAGAAAGCTGACATAATGGACACGCTTCGATACGGCTGGCATAGATCTCGCCGTTTAGCGGTACCCATGCCATCTATTGTAATCATACCATGGGCTCTACAATTTTCTTCTCTCTTTAAAAGGAGTACGGATTCCTGGGAATCGCGTGAGTTCTGGGGTTGGTACACTTTGGGTCGACCAAAATTTCGTTGCTGCAGTATACGTCTAATGGATGCATTAGTACGCGGGTAGTCGACTTTTCCCATGCCGGTGATCGGCGATATTTCTTTGTGTCATAAAAAGGGGGTCTGTTTTCTGAATATTCTGGCTATACATTGGTCTCATGGGGCCTCGTGTGTGGAACACCACGGTGTATCCAGTATATGCGTTTCGGGTGTAGTGAGCCGACCACCGCATTTCACCGTGTTCCCCTCCGTATAACAAATTTGAAACCAAATCTTTTTTTTACATTCTCCAGAGTTGTGTTGATTGCTATTACTCCAAGTGTGCACGTAAATTATTCGGAAAGCTTCCTTCGTAAAATCGATTTTCCGGTGATAGCTCCGACGCTTTGGCGATCTTGCAACATACCCTGGGATATCCGCTTGTGAGATCAATGTCTGAGCGCTCTTACGCCTCTGTGCCAACAGGGGATTCGCCTTGTACGGAATAATCAGGGGTATCACCGCTTCCATGAATGATATTATCCTTATGCATGGTAAGGGTTAATACTCGCATCGTGTGGACCACACTGAAGTTAAAAATAGATGAGAAAGCCTCCTCCCTGATTAATTCTCCTTTTCAAAATAATTATTAGACAGCTAACATTTAATTGCTGGTTAATATATAAGCATGCACGCTGAACCTCCCGTTCGTCCTAAGAAATGCTACATGGAAACTCACCGCTTGGGCGATTTTTCTCGACTACACAAAATGGTTTACTTATTCCCTACAGCTTTGCCAACCATATACATCCAACCACCTCATTCTCGTAATCCATATGCGATACCCGTACACTTTACTCCAGGGAACGTTACTCTAAAAGCATATGAAGGTAATCTCCCCGATGCAGGTAATAACGCCATTCGAGAATCGGAAGCTCTCCTCTGGGATACCAGCATTTATAATTCGTCCTACACTGCGTGTGATAGAATGCCAGCTTGGAAATTTTTCAGCAAACCTCAGCCCCTTTCAGTTTCTCCCCGATTAAACAACGGTATTTTCGACCGCTTCCATCAACCAGAACCATTAAAATTTCCTTTTAAAACTCCCCCTTACCCCCTCCCGAGTGATGCGACTTCAAATTTTGCTGGTTCTCCGGTCTCCTCGGTTTCCACCCCAGGCTTATCGTATACGGATGACGCATCAGATGGTTGTTTACTGGGGGCTTCAACGCCCGCTATCCAAGAGTATCAGCCTATTTCGAATGTGTATCTGAAGCTGAGTGGGACAGAGTCATGTTGCTATCATGATACCTCCCGATTATTTGAACTCGCAGTGACCAACAATATGAACTCCTCGCGGTTTCTCATGATACCGCTTGGTTTCCCGCAAACGTTTCCTATAGATATGGCAAATACTACAGGGAGTCTTGCAGGAAAAGACTCCTGCCCGCTTATCGATGCAGTGGTAAAGGCAAACGATCCTACGGCAGCTGAAATCTCCCTACCCCCGCCTCTGTCAAGATCGCCTCGACGCACTCGCTCAAGGGGCCTACAGCCCTCAGTCTCAATGAATAAAGAGGACAGCACCATTTCCAACAGCGGTTCTAAAGGTTTACCAGGTTCAGATATGGAACACCACATCCGCCCTAAAGGTAAGCTTCCGCTGGTTAGCTCGATGTATTCGGTGTTTTCACACATTCACATCGATCAATATCCAGAGTCGAAAATTATTAAGAACAAGAAACCCAGAGGCCGTTTTGCGGCATACAAAAATGCTTTGGGTGCAAAAAATGAAGACGAAGCGATATACCGAAAGCATAAGTGCAAAATCTGCGGAGGAGGATTCCGTCGCCTGGAAAACTTGAAGAGACATTTTATAAGTGTTCATACCTCAGAGAAGCCCTATGTCTGTAAGGTCTGTGGAAAGGGGTTCTCTCGACCCGACAATTTGGTGGATCATATGAAAATTCACACGGTTTCGGCTTGACCCTAGCGTCTTAGGTACTGTTTATTCAGTGCATGACAGTTATAGCTGGGCTGCGCCTTGTTGTAGCTGTCTTGCAAAGCTGGAAAGTAATTGCATGGCAAGGGTTATTTTTGTATTACAATTAGTCTCTATGGTTTATTCTTAGTTTAGTCCGTCATCTTCCGAAGGTTGTATATGCTGCGGTTTACTAGTAGCTTCAAGATAACAGATACGATTGGTATATGTAGTTGCGGATACCAGTAGACGGGCCTCCGGTATCTTGCACCTGTCTTATAATCTCAATGCCCAACCGGGCCGTGGTCAATGCGTGTTCCGTTGTATTGTCACACTGATGTACGATCACTAACTCCTGTGGCCCCCCTGGGACTGGTATCGGATAACTGCTAAGCTTGGCACCGAAGAATACAAGTGATATAAGCGCTACCCTGGACCCTAGTAAAACCAGTATCTTGGCTTGTGCAGGCTACCCGCCCTACGCGACCGGCATGTAAGCACGCCTGTCTGTGGAAACAAGCTCTAATAGCGCCGTGGTCTATAGTTTAAACCGGTCATGGTTGCTTGACCGCGTGAATGGTGTATATCTAAAAAGGAGGTTTATGCTAGGGCTTTACAAATTAGTTTATAGGAACATAAGTACCGACTGCATCCCCTTAGGGTAGCTGGCCTTTCAGACTAAGCTGACATTGCATGACCCAATTGCGGGGAACGATTCGCACGAGAGGGGAGGTTAAAGTACAGCTTTATCAAGCACTAGCCATACGTTTTTTTTATTGAGAAAAACGCTTGATATAAGCTTACATGGCTCTAAAATAAATCACACCTGGCTGCGTCGAATATTTTCCCCTCGGGGAAGTTTCAGGGAACATATGCGCAGGAAGGCTGGGACTAGTTAAAATAATATTTTGTTACCCCCTAAGGGTATCAACCACTGGAAGCGTATTGTGGTGGATTCATTAATTGACAAGGACCAAAAACCTAGGGTAATGACACTGTAAGAATCTATATGTGTGCAATGAGAAATGTCCGTTACCTACTACTTAGGTCCGATTCTCTCACCTTTATGTGGTCCAGATCTTTAGTCCTCTCATCGAGAAGTTAAAGTTTCCGTAGAAAAAGAGCAGAAACTTTATTCCCTGTCCATCGGAGTGCAATGACCGACATTTCTCCTCTCGGTCCACTAAGAGAGGTACTGTAACAAGCGTCCTTGGAGTTGTAGAGTACTGAACTCGGAGGTAGAGCTTGCTCTAACCCCCATGGATAATTGAACGGAATTTTGTTTGGCCTCAAAAGACGTTATCGCCTCGGCACCGAAGTAACGAATCACTGGCATAGATAACGAAGCTGAAGCTCTTGGATAAGGATGCTGTACGTGGTGTTCCTGCCATTGGCGACGGCTTGGTTTTGATACTTTGAAAAGATCCAGGTGCAAGAGGGAAAGAGCACCCTGAATGGCCCCCCGTTTACCCAGAGAGTCAGAGGCATCGCTGGTACAAAATAATCTCAATATTTGGAGTATGGCTAGTCCCCTGGTTAAGCTCTCACACCCCCTGGGAATGAAGAATCGCTAATCTTCCTCATTCCAATAACCGGGTTTTAGGGGCACTCCACCTATGCCATTGTCTAGTGTACCTAGATGCTGCAGTCGGGTGCCGGCAGCTAGCACTGCGGTTAGACTAAATTCCGGTGAAATTACTCTTATGCGGCTCTCCGGTCATCTCTTATTCCCTTCCATTACGCGGGTTTTAGCAGATTCCGTCGTTTGGATCTTAAACGAAAGAAATTAGACGGTGATCTCAGAATCGTGCATAGGTTTATACGTACAACGACGTACTCCCCGTATCAGGTCGGCACATTGCGGATTCTGAGACTACAAGTTCTGAAAGCTATCCCTCCTATTGTCAGGCGTCTTTATGAAAGGTATGGCCAAGCTTTAGAAAGCAGGATAAATACAGTTCCCGGTGTGTTCTAATAAGGGAGGTTGCATTAGTACGGGCATGCACTCCCGATTTTTTTGCATATCCATGGCAGCGGTTCTCGTTTGGGCCTTAGCCGTCTCAACACCCACTGGAAATGTCTCTTACTTTTGTAGACACACAAGGCTGCTATTGTGAACACATGGTTTCCCCGTACATGTGCCTCGCATTAGAGTGTCTTCAGCCATGCATGACACTACACTGGCGTCGAGGTTCTCATTAAATGCCTCTTTAGGCCTGCTCGGGGGTTTATATGATAGTTATAGCATAAATTGCACAAATGTGCGTTATTGGAGAACTTACCCTTAGAGGTCCGAAACTTTAGCGATTCTGTGAGACTGGGATGCCCTACTTGTGACGCCGATGACTGGGCTTTCTCACTGATCTAAGCTTGAGGCGGGATATACTCACTAGCCGCAGAATCAGGACATTACAGTATCAAGCTAACTGGCATTATTCTAATGCATGGCAAAGGTTAATGATTACATCACCTCGGGAGTATCGAAAGGAGAAGAGCCGTACATGAGAAAATGCACCTTTCTCTCTCCCGCCTCCCCTCCCTGGTCGGGATTACATCCCAAAATATTTAAAAATGTCTTTGAATATTTAATAAGCAGGTTTATAAGCATTTTTTTAAAGTGCCATAGTTATTTTAAACCCCAGTCGTGTCCTATCTCAGCTTGGGCCGTATTAAGACTCGAATAAGCATCTTCAAACTCACACATTTCTTCGACAGTGCTCCTAAAAGACACTTATGTAACAATCATTAATTCGCAAAATATTTACCCATTTATGACCCCCTTTCACGATGCTCCGCGAAATATTTCATGTAAGCTTCCCAAGGATAAATCTTACAATACTAATGCGGATGTCAACATTCATGAATATCACTGTCTACCTTATGATGCTGTATTTTATTATTCATTCACCACACCGGGAAACAGAATAATATCTGGAAATTTTCACAGTGAGTCTCAGGCTTTTCCAACCTCCCTTCAATCAAAATACTGCGCGAGCGGTGCCTACCCTCAAAGGATGCCATTAAGATTCCCGGCTGCAATCTCTTCCTCATTCCATCCAGCTTCTAGAAATCCCGATGGGACTGTTTCTCCTGTTTCTGCTTTCTCATCCCGGTGCGTATCACATGAAAATTACACATGTGGCCACTTCTTCTCAGACACCATCCCCTTCCATGGCAGAGAGTGCCTAACATTTCCAAATGAGAATCTACATCATACCTTGACTGCTCTAATCAACAACCAAGAATTGTTTCAATTATTGGAGTCGGCATCTACCAACAATATGAACTCGTCTCTGTTTCTCATGCGGCCATTCGGGTTATCTGGATCAGCGCGTGTGGGCAATGAAATGGTTTCGGTAGATAGTGAAAATTTGGTCATAGAAGGCCAGTCTGAATGCAGCCTCAGCCCGTTTACGAAAAATATAGCCGTGATTGGTTCTAAGGACGTTAATATTTTTAAGCGACCGCTTAAACCAGGATTTCCGCGGTGCAAAGGAACAAAAGCCGTTCACCTCTCAAGTGTCGAAGGCGGCTTGGACTACCAAGATACCCCCTGTTCCTCCAGGACAAAGAGGAACCCCGTCTACGGCAATAAACCTATGGGGGCCGACTCGAAATGTTCCATACCTTTACATATTCGCATTGACCAGTATCCCGAGTCGAAAATTGTCAAGAACAAGAAGCCCCGAGGCCGCTTTACTGCTTTTAGTCATAATTCCTTAAACACAATGGACGAGGACGAATCGAAGCATCGAAAATACAAGTGCAAGGTTTGTGACGGCAGCTTTCGTCGTCGGGAAAACTTGAAGAGACATTTTATAAGCATGCACACTGCAGAAAAACCCTACGTTTGCAAGGTCTGCAACAAGAGGTTTTCTCGAGCAGATAACTGGTTAGACCACGAGAAGATCCATAAACCCTCGGTCGTTCGTTTTACAACTAGCATCCCAGAACTCGACTTTGAGCTTAATGCCTAAAACGATTTGCTAGGCGAAAATTTCCGGTTTAGCTTGGCCCGTGTCACGTAAACATCAAAATTTTCCACGAACTCGATATTAATTGAGTGATCTCTAGCTGCACTTGTATGACAGCACTATATATTATTTTTCGACAATGCGTCTGTATACCTGGTGGAAGCTGGTATCCAATTAAAGAACTAAAATGGTGAAGGTTGATAGACTACGTTTAAAAGTCTGTAGGTAGCACGTCTGTAGGTAGTACGTCTGTAAGTAGCACTGCTGTGAGGCGTGACTAATCTTTGATATTTTCGATGATTCATATCCTTGAATATATATCCCCTCAGTCCTACAATAATATTCTCTTCTTCAAATCAGAATAAATCAGTGTATGTGCTATAATATCTATAATAATCTCGTAAAAAATACCGATTTATTAACGTTTAGGGCTAATGCCTCGGGGAAACTCTACTCAGCGGCTCACTTGCACCCTGCTAAAAACAGACATCAGGCCCATGTTAGACCGTGCCTTAGTGTTCCAGAGCACCCTGTAAGTCGCCTGGACCTGGTACACTGATACCAGGCAGTCTTAGCATGCTAAAGCATTTGCAACATGCGCATGCTAGATCCATATGTTACAGGGTTTGGGATATTCAGAATTTTAGTGCCGAACGCAGTCCATCGATCTCGTGGACATGCCGCATCTATATTGCTAACAGTACGAAGCGTAGTTAAGGGTACGTCAGAAAACCATCTACTAAAGAAACATACTGGTTAGCAAGAACTGATAGCCTCCAGTCTAGGCACGCGATATTGTCTTGTGGCACTCTTTCGGTCAGATATAAACGCGAGTTGTCGTTCGATAGAAGGAGCCAGCGCAGCACGGGAATTGTATAAGGGGTATATATTAAACTATAGATACGATTTGGTACCTAGACCGAACCTAATTACTCGTATGAAATTACATGATCCTGTATCCTTAATCCTTCCATGCGTTACTGCAATAGCCTGTTCCCTATGCACCGACCCTTACTCAACGGAGAATAGACGCAATGAAGAATAGACGCAACGGAGATAGACGTGGTGGTGAATGGGCGCGGTGGAGAATAGACGCAGCGGAGAATAGACACCGCGAACGTTAAACCCGGCAGTCGCGTGGTGCATACGTGTTCACGCGCACGTGGAAAATATCAAACCATATTTACGTCCTAGTATGGTCACTCTAATCGACCATCCAGCTATTCCGCACTGACACCCATCGCTAATATTCAGCTGGTCCTCCCCCTCCCCTCTCATTGGTCTCCAACAATGTATCTCTCGCCCTCGATGAAACGCACGCTAACCCTCGTGCTGGCCACCTTCTTGGGGCTTGTGTGTGGAACAGTCTACTTATACAGCTCCTACAGTCCGCAGTTCGCAGCCCGCTTGGGCTACACGGTGTCACAACTGTCAGCCATCGCAATGGTGGGTACCATGGGCTCCGCGCTCTCGGGCCCCGTTGCGGGGCTCGTGGTGGACACCTGTGGCTACACCCTTTCGCTCGTGACGGGTGGTACGCTCATCGTCGCGGGCTACGTCGGGATGAAGTTCCAGTACGACCAAACCGCCTCCAGCGTTCTTTTCTCGTGTGTACTCTACTTCATGGTGGGCGCGGGGTCCACCTTTATCAACTCCGCGAACTTGAAATGCTGCGCGGTCACGTTTCCCGGGATCAAGGGCATTGCGACGGCGCTTCCGCTCCTGATGTACGGGCTCAGCGCGTCCGTGTTTTCCTTCTTAGGGTCTGTCTTTGTTCCAGGTGACACGTCGCGCTTCTTGGGGCTCTTGGCGGTGGTGAATGCCGCCATCTTCGTGGTGTGCGCGCCGCTTGTGTGTATGTGCGACGACGTGAAGAGTCGCTCGTCAGGGCGCGATACACCTAAAATGTTGGAGCTCGAGACGTTCACGTCCGCAAATATGCTGCCGCGCGTGGCACATGTGGCCCCGGAAATCACTGGCAGCGCGCTTTTCCGCGACCCTAAGTTCTGGGGGCTCTTTATCGCGCTTGGCGTGTTTGCGGGCTTGGGCCAGATGTACATTTTTTCCGTCGGCTTCATGGTCTCCGCGCTCACCGGCGGCTACGACTTCCTCGTAACCCATCCCAGTGCCGTCACCCTCATCCAGCAGGAGCAGCAATATCAAGTTGCGGTGCTCTCGGTCGCGAACTGCGCAGGTCGCATTGTGAGTGGTGCCGTCGGTGACCTCGTGACGCGGCGCTTCCTGCAGCTGCGCATTGTCGTGTTGCTTGTGCCTGCTGTGGGCTTTGTCGTAAGCCAACTCTTGGGCGCGCGCATGCCGTTGAAGGACTTGTGGCTCGAGTCGGCGCTCACCGGGGTGGTCTATGGGTTTACCTATTGTGTGTTTCCGTTGACGGTGGCCGATATGTTTGGGATGGCGAACTATTCGTTGAACTGGGGGATTGTGGGTCTTGCGCCCATCCTCCCGGCGTACATGTACAACAGCTACTTTGGAAAGGTCTACGATGCGAACGTGGTGGAGAAGGAGTTTAACGGAGCGATTATTAAGGCATGCAATATTGGGCGTGACTGCTATGACAAGGTGTTTTATAGGAACTTGTGGAGCGCGTTTGTGGGTGCCGTGATGGTTATCTGGCTTGTCTGGAGGGTGGCGGAGGAACAAAGAAAGACGTCGAGAAGGGAATAGGGTCGAGGCAAGGTTCCAAATAAATGGAGAGACAACTTTGTGGTTTTTTCGAAAGCTTTGGCTGGAAGAGCTGAGCTCAAAATTGACGGTTGAGCATAAGGCCTAGAAAATGTTCTACTTGGAAGACGTTACGAGTTAGTGTTACTCAGGATGCCGATAAATTGCTGACAGTTCTGACAATAGATGGCTATTCAGCTCTTGGAATTAATGAAAACCATCAAAGGAGTGCTAACAATATCAGTTGACCACCTTTTTGTGAGTGGTTTTGACCACTAAGGATTTGACCACTAAGGATTTGATCACTAAGGGTTTGACCACTAAGGGGTTGATCACTAAGGGGTTGACCACTAAGGATTTGATCTCTAAGGGCTTGACCACTAAGGATTTGATCTCTAAGGGGTTGACCACTAAGGATTTGATCTCTAAGGGGTTGACCACTAAGGATTTGATCTCTAAGGGCTTGACTGTTTCTGTAACATGAGTTTCGCTCCGGCTTTACTTCCTACGCTCTTTCGACGATAATTGGTTCTACACTTCAAGACGTAAAAGCGCCATGGCATTTAAATCACTGCATAGACTTGAAATAACCACTCTGTAGGTACCTTACTCTACTGAAGCTATTCTGAGGTTGACTCAATGCCAGGACATCAATGGTGTCGCAGGGTGTATAGGATAAGACAAAGCGATGGAGTGAGCCCCCAGGGGATTTCACGTTAGTATTCCCTATTGGTAACCAAAATTCTAGTTCCAATGTTTCTATAAGCTAGTGTAAAACCAAAGCAGTTTCTTGAAGTGTAACTGCTCTTTTTACCCGAATGGAAAACGGCTCTTCTTTTCATATTTCAATGGGGCTCTCTTTTATCACTCTTCAAACCGGTTGAAGCACCCGTAGTCCCATGAAACGTTTCTACGAATTGTTAGAGAAATATCAGTGAATTGTAACAGTTGATAAAACAGAAACTCACAATATCTTACAAAAGGAAAGGCTAAAATAATTCATTAGATATACATGGGAAGGTGTCGTTACGGATTACAACTGGGTGCGAACTTCGGTTCTCACAACAGGGTCCTTGAATGGGTTCGCACTCTCACCGGTAACGACAGTGTTGAGAGTCGCGTTATCATTCATGCTGGAGGTGTCCAAGTTTACAGCGCCATCGGTGGTGTGGTTAAATCTCGAACGGTTGTTGCCAGCGTAAGCTTCAGCCTGCTTCTTCTTATTCAAGTACCAGAAGATACCGGCAACAAGAGCAATGGCCACCACCACTGGAACGATAACAGCTGGGGCAATCGTGGACGCCTTCACACCTTCCTTAGAGGTGTTAACAGCGTTATCGGAAGGGACACGGGAAAGCTCGGTAATGGCTTCGCTCCTGGAGGTGATGACTCTCAAGACCGGGCCAGACTTGGTACCCACATGCTTTGCGTTACTGTTCTGGTTGGTCAATGGGGTGATGTTCAAGAAAAAGTAGCCGGCATCCAGCGACCGTCTCATTTCAGGGGTAATTTCAAGAGGGTAGTAACCATCATTGTTGCTGAGTTGTTCCGAGGTGAACAATGGAGAGTCGTTATCCAAGACTGGGTATGCGCGCATTTGCAAAGTAACCCTAGAAACGTCACCACCCCAGTAGGATGGATCCCAGGTAATCCAGTAGATTTCACCCACCAATAATTCGGTACCGTTCTGGGCGGTGCAGAATGGCGAGCCAAGGGCATCTTCATTCGGGACTCTGTCGCCAAAACAACGCAACACCGGTGGAACATCGTCCACCTTAGGATAGTTCGAGTCTGTTGGGGTAGGAGACGCGGAGATGGTGGTTCCACCGCTGACGGTTGGAGTGATTCTGTATGGAATACCAGTCTTGTCAAGGGAGATCCAAGGCGTGGCAGACTTTGTGTTTGGGGAAGCAGAAATTGTCACGCCGTCAATGAGAGTAGGGGTGACCTTGAGTGTCTCGACACCTGAGGTAGACAACCAGACAGACTCGGCTAGCACCTTCTGCTCTCTTTTGAATAACTTGGCCGCGGGAGTAATTTCCGGGTGCGGAATTGCAACTGCCAAGGCCGTAAGGGACTGAAGCAAAGTTCCTAACAAAACGATATTGAACTGCATAATTGTGAAATGGTTGTTGGTTCAGAAAAACCAGGTAAAAGCCCAAGAGAGAAGCTCCAAGGGAGGGAGCGTTGCTTTTATACAAAGGGAATCTCCGGGAATGCCTAGAATTTTTGCACGGCCGTTTTCCTTGGCATTATTTGGTAATATGGCGGTCATAAGTGCTGGATTTGGTGATTATTGGGAGGTCAAAAGTTTAATTATGTATGCATGGATGCCAATACTTCTAATTCCGATATCTTCATATACTATTGTGGTCTATAAGTTGGGTAAAATCTGGGCATTCATCGGCAAAAAAAAACCCCCCTTAGCTACACGCAAGGCATTAGTACCTGTCCTTGACGATAATTTTATTGGTTAGTACTAACCAATGAAACTATTTGAGAGATACTATGCCTTTATTTCAGGGTTTACAAGTACCCTAAGCCGTCACCCTCTCCATCGAAAAGCCGATATAACTGACCGCATGCATGCTTGGTGAGGCAAGTCTGCGGCTTATGCTAAGACTTTCCGTGTCAAATATAAAGGTTTAGTGCAGATCGATTAGATAAGAATCATGTCAAAATCCTCGTCTGATATTGTATTAAGGCTGTCCTTTCTAAGGCCCAAGGTGAAATTTTATTGAATCAGATCATTCATGAAACTCTGGAAAATCCATAATCTAAGAAAGGACGGTGTTTTTGCGCCGTTATGTGTGGAGATTATGAGACCCGCTCTGATGCCCAGCCCTGATAGAAAAGTCCAGGGTTTTAGTTTCAAAATCATGCATTAACGATTTTGTGCGATAAATCCGGGCTTGTGAAAATCGCTCGGCCCATGGACCCTACTGTGGGTTTAGCTATAGGAGGAAATTCTTTACAGCTCTTAGCAGTTATTATTGTCCATAGAATACCTGTGAAAGGGGAGATTTAGTTTGGGTCTCTGATCACGTGTCTTGTCCGTAATAAGCATGCAATAATCTGGCCGATTTTGGTGTGCGAATAAATGACAGCGTAAATATGTATGGCAGGGCTATTTTAGTCACCAATGAAATATGTATACTCATGTGGATGTGTGGTCCGTATGTACTTTTACTTGCCCAATATTGGGTATATACTCAACACTAAATTTCTGATCTCCCACCTAAATACAGTTCTGTCATACACCTGTGCTTAACATTTTCCCCTTTTTAAAAATTATAAATAAATTTATAGTTTTTATTTTAAACCATTATTTGTAGATTATTTATTTGCGTATAGCACAAGATGAAACAAAAAGAAAACAGGAAAACAAGACGCCTTCGGAACTTTTGAACAGCCAGAAATAAAACAGCTCAAACAGAGCCTAGCTGGCATTGCCGCCAGCAAACACCTGCCCACTTGGACCACCGGTGTTGGCACTGAACGATCGCTTCTTCATAAACTCACCGTTTTCCCTCCGCTCGCCCAGATTCGACAGCGACATCATCAGCATGATTAACGGCCCGGGCGTCTTGGCTCTGAACTGGAACTGCGGTTGCAGCGGCGGAGCGGAGGTGGCATCAGACGACGCCGTGGCGGGATGCGAGTCGCCGACAAGCTTGGCGATGGAGAGATTGGCAGGCAAGTCTAGGTTGAGCGACCTGAGCGACGGCAATTCGGCTTCGCGAGCGGAGGTCGGGGCCAAGCGCGGCGACACGAGGGGTGTGTGCAAGGGTGAGCTTGTGTACGAATGGGCAGGAATGCTCCAGCCGGGAACGCTCGCTACGGAGGTGGATGCCCCGTACAAGCTGGTGGAAGACTTGGAGGCAAGCCCGTTGTCTGAGGCATTGGTGAAGGAGCGGCTCAAGGAGGCGGGGCCGCGGTTCAACGAGCTCATTGTCAAGCTGCTGAACGCCATTCCGCTCAAGTTTGTAAAACTGTTCAGCGCCGACACGGATGGCGTTCCGATGTGGCCAATCTTTGGCGAGTTGGGCAATGTGTAGCCCGCTTGCATTGGAGAGTTTGGTCGCGATCTCTTTACGCGCGATAGCTCTTCCAAGTCAAGGCGGTCATCGTGCTTCGGCGAGGCGAGAGCCTTCCCAAGGGGGGCCATTCGCAGCAACGAAGGGAGGTATGCCACACCGTTCGACGACGCCTTGTGCTGCGATAGAAGACTATCTACAGATGTGTACGACTTGGCAGCATGCGGAAGCGGATAGAGCGGCTGGCGGACGCTCGCATCGTCTCTCATCGCGTCAGCTTGCTCCGTCAAGCTGGTCGAGGATTTCGACAGCTTCAACGCCCACGTCTGTTCCTGCTTCAAGTGTTTCAACTCCTCTGTGGCTGCCGATACAAGCAAGTCCAAGTCCATTTTGGTGCTGGAGGGGGTGTATCTCCCTTGTTGCGGGGAAAACGGCTGCGGCGCCCGTAAGTGTGGGGCACTTGGGGTCGGTTGGTGCACCGAGGGCTGGAACAACAGCGGTACTTGCCCATAGGCGGGGATCTCGAGCTTTTGGGTTGGCTTCTTTACCTTGGGCTGGGCTACGCCGGCCATGACAGCAGCAGCAGCCACAGCGTCGGCATCCGTCGGCTCGTCCCTTTCCGGGGCAACCTCCGACTCCTTCATCGACTTGACGGTGAGGTTCTTGTTTCGACGGGAGTTAGGGTTGGTGTGGATGCGCGAGTGTCGGGTCAACTCATCAGAGCGACTGAACTTCTTGAAACAGCCCGGGAAGTTGCAGCTGTGGGGCTTCTCGCCGGTGTGGGTCCGAATGTGTCTGGTCTGGTGCTCGAGCCTGTGGAAGGCCTTGGCACAGATGGGACACTTGTATGGTCTAGGTAGCTCCTCGTTTTTCTTTTCAGCGGTTTCGGCGGACATTATGGTGTGTATGTGTGGCAAGGTAAGAAGCACAGACGTAATTGTGGGGGAGATGGACAGAACGAGATGCTGGGTGTGGATGGGACTAGTAATACAAAAGTGGGCACAATGAAACAGAGTGGCGCAGATTTAATCTCAGACACTAGATGGGCTGTCTGTCAGTAAAGAACGTAAACAGTGTTTATGACCTGATAGTTCTCCAGACTCCTTCCCCTGCTTTTTTTCCTCTTTGGTCGGCGTTTCTTTTTCGCTCCTGTTTTCCGGCGTTCCCCCCCCCAAAATCTTAACCCGCAAATTGCTTTTTTTTAGTGCAGCGTCAAATTTCGTGGCCTCAGACGCACGTACGAAAATTTTTTCCGCCAGCCGTGTTTTTGCGGGGCAATACTGTATGTATGACAGGTGGTCTTAAGGTTTACTAGATACGTGGGAATACCAAATATCCATGTATGGACATCTCCGTGGTATATGAGGCTTCTGATGAAACAACCTTATCACACAACGGTTCCTGTTTGAGAAGTGACTCTGCCAGAAGTAACTTCCTGGGGGGGGG